CTCACGCTTTTATCTCCCAATAATTTCACGTAGACAACGTTATTAACACCGTCCGGAGACGATGATTCCGCCGCTGCCTTCGCTGCAGTCACATCGAATCCGCGACTTCGAGCGAGACCATGACGAAGTTCGCTGCGGGGCTTCAGAAATAAAGAAACAATGAAAGCCAAGCAACAACAACGGCGCGTCGGCACCGGCCGCAGAATCAGCAACAACGAGCCAAAGCCTACCGTGTCTGAATGTTGAACGCTGCGGGTGTCGTCGGGCTCTGGCGTTCAAAAGAGAAAAATGCGAATAAATGTCCGTTTAAGACCGCCCGATATAAATCCCGCAATTATTTAAAAGTTTCGGCGGGATGCGAGATAACATTGTGCGTGAGCTTCATTGTTCACGCACTCACCACCGCTGTCGCTTCGATTGCTCATATTGACAAACTGTTCGAGAGCAACGGACTGTGCTCAACATCGGACGATCCCTTTGAAGCCGATAAACGAAACCCAGTTCTTGATCACTGACATCAGGAAGTCAGCGCAAGTATCCGAAAGAGGGGAATTTTTCGCATTTTCAGCGCGTCGAGACGTCGCGACGATAGAAGCGCTTGCTCTAGGTATTCCCGTGCATGCCCCCGGAACACGATCGGCAGAATCGTTGACCGCAGGTTGGGAGCTCGAAGAGAAGCGCCGTGATTTGTCCACGGAGCGGGGTTCGACATCAGATCGCGATGATCCTTCGTCTTATGATAAGATGGATCTTAATAAATCTCATTATATGCTAATTCATCTGGATGACGCACGAGCAGTGCCTGGCGAGATAAGAATACTTCAATTATCATCTTTGGAATCGACAGGAGCCATGATATAGGAAGTAGAGAAATGGAATGAGATTACGGTCATTTAATTAATCGTCTACAGGACATATTCAAATGGGCGACCACGATTCGAAATAATTGGACTAGGTGAATGATTCCGCCTCTGCGCGCCTCTCTGCTCACCCGCGCTCACAATGCTAGTTTTTCATTTTTCATACCCAAGACGGAAGACAGTCGGAAATCGAGTTCGTGATTTGATGGAGCCGAGATCGCCGATCCGAAGGCGAAGTCCGGAAAGTCCTTTGAGACATTACGATAGCAACTTATTATCGGGTCGTGATAGAGAATCCGGGCAATCCAATCGACAAAATATCGGGGATTTGACCGACTCGCTGAGGATTATCACGCAATGAGCGTTTCTTCACCTTTCAGATAAATCAATTTTCAGCCGATCCAGCGAGCTTCCAATCGGCCCGTGTACTCAGAGAATGTGTCGACCGAGCATTCGTTCCGATACTTTATCAAATATTCTGCGGGAAAATTCGACACTCCTCCAGCATAATCCTCGGAACCTGATCTCCCGAGAACGCTCGAACGCAAAGTTCCGGACAGAAAATCAGAATCTGAGGAATTTTCCCTCTACTGGTTTGAGCGATTATGATTATAGGTATATGTAAATGCATGTGGAGGATCGGAATTATTCGGCAAATGATTCTCACATCGCAAGATTTCCGCCGGATATATGTTGTCAACAACGTTCTTCGGGCATGCCGATTCCGGCATAATTCACGATGATGCGAAGTATTCGGAGCATCTGCTCAGGGTCGCGGCAAAGAGAAGAGAATCATAGTTGACGGTTGTCTCTTTTCGGATCAGCGCCCGCCCAGCGAGGGGGGAATGAAAGCGCTACAACAAGGCTAAGTGATCGTTCGTTAGATGGACGACACCATTCCTTAATAGCTTCGAATTGTCACCGGCATCCCAACCCCTCGTACAGCCGCCAAATGGGCTCCTCATTCTGGTGAGATGCTTGAGCATAAGTATCGGCAGCAAGCCATCGTTACGATCGCTACGATGAGTGCATGTTCTCATCACCACAATAACACCTCATTACTCCTTGATTGCACTCACTCGAATCGTGATCACCGTCAACATGGAAACGATCATAAAAACTGAATCTCTAGAATGGTGGCCAAGGCAGCATATGCCGGTAGCAGCTCTGTCTGGTTGTCATAAAGTCGTCGTTTGCGATGGCCTCCTGCTTATGGGCGGTCCGATCGCTCGCTCGCTCGCTCGAGCTCCGAGAGCGAGACTCTCCCCAACACTTCGAGACTGCACTCGAGTCGACAACTGAACTCGACTTCACCGCTGAAGCCCTGAATACAGCTGGCGCTCTGACTGGCGGTTCCGCGAGGGTAATGAAGCGGGCTTAATTCGTTCCGAGTCGAGAGGACTTCATGAATGTTATGACTCCAGCAACAACAAGCTCTACCAGTGAGAGGAGCAGATGGATGGATTTTTGCAATCCGCGCTCCAGACAGGCTCCTCATTACACAATTGGATGTTAGAACTGATTGAATGGCCAGTCTGGAGGGCGCTGTTCGCGCGCTCCGGACGCCTTTCTCCTTCCCCGACACACAGGAGGGCTCTGAGTGAGCCCTCGGACGCAAAATCTCAGAACGTAATGAGTGGAGGAAATGAGCGCGACGGAATCGCTGAATCTCGGCCTGGATCGCGATAAGTCGAGCATCTGCGTGATCCCGGGAAAATTGAGCGCGTAAGACAGGACAGATTCGAAGCTCTTCCGATAAGTCGAGAATTATTATGGGAGTAAATCATTTTGATTAAAGAAGAAAACAGTAGCGGTGGCATTGTTTTTCGTTATCGAATCGAGAACAATCCCAGGAGTCATCCTCTCGCCCCCTGTAATCTGCGAGGCTGAGGAGCTGTTCGGTGGAGGTGGTGGAACACAGGGAAAAGTCAAGGAATCAACCCGACAGCTCAACTGCTCGAATCGGAGCGTAGATGCGGTCCCGGTATCTGATTCGTTTGGCTCCGCGGCTTTCATATCTGTGGTGGTGTTGGCGAGACTGCGCCTATCTTTGTGCGCGCGCGCGTGATATTATCGTTATTTAGGCGTAATGGTCGGACACACAAACTGCTAGGGGAGCTGGCGAACCAGCCACTGGGAGACGAATCAGATCATTGTGTCGTGGATGGATGATCATAAGGCATCTGAGGAAGATACGGGGAGATGATTTATCGAGTCCGCTGAAAGACACCCGGACCGGCGATCTCTCAAAATCTTTGAGTTCGCGCTTCCCGTCCAGGAGTGACAGCGTTACTTTGGGCTTTATGCGCGCGAGTTGGAACACGTTCTTACAACGGAGCCCCATCAAGCACCGCGCGTACGCCGAATGTCAATCGCTTTCTGATGGAAGGCATCGGGGAGAGACGATTGAAAAGAACAATACGGCGCAAATACGTTCGATACCGCTTGTTCTTCCCCTTCGATGCTCCAAAAGGGCGATCAATGAATGGAAGCGCCAGCGGCGAGGGATAGGCTTCACCCGAGGATTTCTGTTGACTCAAAATCACGGAGTGCACCTCTGACAATGGCATTATTGACTCTCGAGAACTTCATGCAGGCGACGGATCGGGCCGTCGCTCGGTTTGTCCGTCCGTCAGACCTCCATTCATGTTTCCATATGTTCGATGGAGAGTTTTCTCACTTCATCGGCTCTCACTCTGACAATAGACTCTATCGCCATGTGTTTGAAGTGCCATCGGCTTGCGGTTTCTAAGCCCGAGCTCATTTCACACGGGGACTCTCCGATAGTCAATCGTTCGGCTTGAATGCTGTCGGCCAATCCGGGGAGCGGACGATTCCTAAATCGATGCTTGATCAGCATACAGCGCACATTTCGGCACCCTTACAGCTCCTCCGCATCGAGATCTGCCGTCCCGAGCGCTGCACCGCGCGCACCATTGATGGTTGTTCCCCCTCGTGAAGATGAAGCTCAATAAATGCTGTATTCTCTGTCATTCGAAGATTAACGAGTTGACGAGGGGAAAAACAGAAAAATAAGTGATCAGCACCGTCCTTTATTTGCTGGCTTCTAAGTAGCTCGCCTCCCCGAGAGCCGCGGTGGCGCTTGTTGGCTTTGGCAAAACGATGTCTGAATCATGAAAGTGATAAATGGACTTTTAAAAAAGGGATTGGGCTCTCCCCACCGACAGTCGGAAATGGAATGTCTTCACAGGTGGTTCTTAACAACAATCCCAGTAACACAAGAAATCACAGCGGTGTCGAGAGCGATTATCACAGTCAATGTCGAAAACCGGGCGACGCCCCCGCACGGGAAGTGTCAAATGAGGTTACCCATCCCTCTGATCTACACGCAAAAGATATCAAAGGTCCTGAACATGCCCGACCAGAGAGATGCCTTCTCCGGGATCTCCGTCAAAGCCAAGCAGCCTATGCTTCGAAAATGTCTGCTATGAAGGAATCGTTTTCACTGGAATCGACCGCGGCGAAGGTTCGAACCGTCGTTGCTGTGGCTCGGAAGTGCCATTGAGTCCAGTACGGGCGATTAAGCGGAACCAATTGACTTGAAGCGACATTTCACTCGACTAGGACAGACGATATCCTGTGCTTTTCGCTTTACGGACAGCGACGCACTTCTCCGAATGTTTCATGTGATTAAACGACCGAAACGACGGCGGCGACTTCCAATTGACGGATGAAAGGGTGGACTGTGAGACGTGGAAGGTTTGAATGACATTTCGGCGATTACCGACAAGGGCTTGGCAGCGGGGAAAGAAATTTCTCGACGGTCGACGCTCAGGTTCCGGAAATCATTTCCAGGCAGACCAATCGTTAACATCCTGGCGAGTTTCCGACAGATTCTCAACACTGGCCAAAAATGCCTCTCATCCAGGCTCTGATAGCCCATTGCTCGAAAAACCACTGCGACATGCATGAGCCTTCTCTTCGTCTTTGTTAACTGGGAATATAACTCCACGGGATAAGAACTAGCTCGCATTCGATGTCGGTGCTTGGAAACGCCGAGAATGCTTTCAGCCGCCGGCTTTAGCTACAAATCGTGTTGCCAATGGTGAGAAATCTCCCGCTATACCCGGGACTCGAACCGCAGTTCTGGATTGAGACTAATACAGGAAAAGTACTCACTTGGAGAATAAGATCGTTGAGGCAGCCAAGGGAAAGTCCCGGCCGTCAGAGCTGCGGCCTGAGCCGCCCAAGGCGCCAGGTTCGGCGGTAACATCGAGCTGGGGAAACCTTCAGGCAGCCGCAGCGCTGCTGCTGTTTCTGCGTCGAGCGGGGGCGCTCGTAGGAGTCCGTCGACTGAAAACGATCTCTGGTGTCCGAAGTGAGAGGAGAGATTGATCGGTGACGCTGTGCTTGACGGTTCTTCAGTGATTTCTGGCGGAGATGATGGCGACGGAGAATTATTGTGATCGTCTTCCTCGTCGTCCGTGGCCACATGTAATTCTGCCTCATCGTCTTCTTGGGATTCGGGCGAAAGCGGAGGATTCAAGTCTCGACTGGGAACACGAACCGGTGGTGAGCGCGGAGATCGAAGCAACGAGGCAACAGAGAACGATATCTTATTCGATTTGCTGGAGCTATTGTTGTTATTATTGTTGTTGTTGATGTTGTTGTTGCTGGTGGTGTTGTTATTGTTGTTGTTCGGTGGGGCGGTCGCCGTTTGTAGGCACTGCGTTTGGATCATGTTGGAATCGTTCCGTTTCCTCTAATTATCCAGTCCGGTATTAAAAACGAAGGTTCCGTCGAGGGGGCAATCGAACCCGCAACAATAAGTCTCGAACCACGATGCAGAGACAAGCTCAATCGGAGAGAGGCAGAAACAACAAGTGTTGCGCGATTCTTCTCTTGGGCGCGCACTAGGATTCTCAAGAAAATCACACGGGGAGCACTCGGAACGGAAGATATAGCTTCTGTAGAGGGTGTGACCGCGCGGATGAAGAGACACTTGATGAAGTGGATGGGACGAACAACAGGTCAGCAGGAATCACTGAATTCACAGTGTGAGGCGAAGGCTCGGCTGGGCGAACGACCGAGATTCCGGAAAGAGTTTCACGCGTGTTTGAAACTTCTTTCAGCGCCGGGTCCCAGTCTGAGAAATCATTCACTAGTTGCTGCTGGGATTCTTATCGCGACACTGTTCCACATGTGCTTCGACGATTCAAAGCGAAGGCGACAGCCCGGATCTATCCGTCACGAAGTGTTGTTAAATGGATCGTCCAAGACAAGACATCGACTTCTTGGAGTCCATAGCTTCCGTTCGAATGTTGTATGGGACGGTTTCTGAACGCTCGCGGAACACGTCTGATCTCAGTTGATATTTGCGGGGACGTTAAGATCGATTTCTTCGAATCCCTTGGTTGATCCGGTCCACCTTTGCTCACTTCACTGAATCCGAATGAAAGCACGAATTCATTCCATTTCTCGCGGGCGAGGTCTGCTCAATTTCTTGCGCGTCAGTACGAACGTTGCACCCTGTGCTCCGTGATGTCTCTTCTGGCTCCGTCCGCGTGTAAGGGCGGAATGTGTGGTTGATTTTCGGGGCTACTGGCTGGCCAGTGTATGCTGTCACTAAGTAGGTGTCCGTCGTGGTCGCTGCTGAGGAGATCCGCTCGAGAACACACATACACACAAACAAACATACGGTTCCGCGCGGACTGTGACGACTAGGCGCTCTGTTTGCCGACGACTGACTGACTGAATGAGTGGCTGGTCACAGGCTCCCTCGTCCGCTGGCGAATCCTCTGGTTGTCGAACATCCTTCTCCTGACGGCAACGAGCCACGGCGGTGGTAGCGGCGGCGAGCCGGGCGCAGACACAGGCCGCGCATTCAGAGGCGGAGCCCAGGGTTAAGGTCCGCCCATCGTTTAGCCAAACGGCAATCAAAGCTCCTCACTACCGCCGCGCTGGTGCTGCAACCGCTGCTGCTGCCACTACTCCTCGAATAAAGAAAGGCCAAGCGTTTACACCGACAGACACTCTCGCTCACTTCGTCGGTCTGATACACTTACTGGTGACCAAACGACTAGGTACTACTATCCAGTCACGCAAGGTAGCAAGCGGCCGGGAAGCTGGTACGATCGACATGAGGAGGTGCCCTGTTTCTCTGCAATTACCGACCAAGTGATAGTTGCTCTAACCGTCAACGATACAATTCGCGTTCATGCAGGAAAGGCGTCCTCCGTTGATCGAACTCGAGACTCTCACGAGTCCTCGATTGAGTAGATGTGAAAGCTCTGCGCAGAAATCGATGGGCTCAACTTGAAATTCCCGCGTTTTGCCGATCCCGCGGAGATTGCGGCTGCGAACCTGCCCCGCAGCTCTCATCAAGCGATTCACTCGGCGCAAGACAAGATGACGCGTTCGGACACTCCCTTTCCCAGCGCGAAACAATCGTATTGCACTTACTCAGCAGCCGCATGTGATCGGGGTACCATTGGCAGCCGAGGGGTTGGCGAGTTCGAGCTCGCTAACCGGAAAATACTCCCAATGAATTATAGTATCGGTCAGTCAAGGATTCGAATTGTACACAGCGGTCTCCAATCACTCCGGATTCGGGATATACATTGAGCAGATACATATGTACGGTAGACGGTGTGCCCCAGTGCAGCGAGAGATCTAATGGGTGACACAGAGGCTGAAGCCGGAACCGCAGTCGACTAGGTCGGTCCCTCGGGAGGAGAAGCCGGTCTCACTCGAGAATATGACGCCTCGGACCACGAGGGCCGAAATCGGTTACATAATCCCACTGACGTCCGCGGGCGAATGTCAGGACGGAAATTCCTCGTCGGCTAACCACGGTCGATTTCTCGCGAGAGAGCCCAAGAGGTAGGTGGAATTCGGGGAAAGACATGAAGGGTACCCTGGGGAAAGTGAGGGGACCATAACAGGAGCTCTCAAACTCTCGAGAAATGAAGCAGTCTCGAGGACGAACTTCCAGCTCCTGATTATCGTGAGGTCTAATAGATGATCGCTTCTCCTTCTCGCTGGCTGTCTAGTATCTGGCATCCGTAGATGCTAGATACAGGGTGGTGTCCGACGAACAATTCAGATGCAAACGACCCATACGCTGTCCCCATGGCTGCGTGCTTGGAGCAAACGTGTCGACAAGGCTTGCTCGTGGACCGTGAAATTCGAGAGCCGACTATGGCGCGAAAGATCTCGAGTTTCAAGCCAATTCTGATCTTCCTCGTTTTTTTTGCCGGAGTAATGTCAAGGAAGAATTTCGGCCACGGGGGAGAAATTTCCGATCCTCTCGCACCATGCTCCGAAAACCACGGATGGGTGCTCGGGAACCTCCCGCATATCTCGCAATTTTACGTTATTTCTGCCAACCCCACAACTTGTCTACCTATAATAAATATTGGGTGCTGACCTTGCAGGTTGCATGTATGATATAGGCTGCGGAGTGCAGTCTCCTTCTCTAAAGACTGCGGGAATCCGTCGACATGAGCTTTTCATCAGCGAAATCTACCCGTGAGGACGAATCCTTCATCATATGGCCATCAGATCATCGTCACTACGTCGTCGTGGCGAGGCTTCGGTTTCAACTTGCACCTTTCTCGAGTTGCCTTTCACCGGAACGACGGGACTATAAAGAGAGTGTAAATCGCTTCGCTCATCGTAGCAGTCGGCTGGCTAACTGGGTGGGAGGGAGGCAGGCCGGCGGGCGAGCGAGCGAGCCGGGAAGCAAGCAGTCAGCCATCCGGCAATCCAGGGAGAGTTCCCCATCAAGTCCCCATATTCTCCCCTGTTCGAGCAACCCCGACAGAGATAAGATATCAAATGTCACTCGAGCCTTTGTGGCGGTAGCGGCGGCCCCAGCAGACGGGTGGCTGACTGACTGGTTGGATGGGTAGCGGCGATGGTGGGGGAAAAGGGGAGTTCCGGTTAGAGTTAATCATTGCTCGGAGATTGCTTGATGGGAGTCGACGGTCGAACAGAAGCTTTTGAGGGCAAAGCACACGGTGGCGGCCACGCTATTGCTTTTCTATTTCAATCCGACGCCGTCACCCTCCATCTCCTTCGAATCGGTCACATTCCTGAGCCTGTTTTCGCAACTCCTCACCTAAAGGAGAGTATCTAGCGAATCGCGATCGGGGAATTCCGTCTTTCTCGGATGATCACGGCCGATTCCCGCGTCGAATTGTATCGGTAGAAGTCATTTTGTATTCCAGCTCTGCCAGAGGACGATTCGACGTGCGCCTTACGCACGGTCTAACCGAGCATCGGACACAAGAGAATTCCCCGAGCCTCTCGCGGACGTAACACCTATTACGGAGTCATCGTGAGCGAAGCTCTTGCTCACTCGAACGGAATGAGGAAAAGCGTGGAATACCTCAAGGGATGATCACGGTTTTTCTGTCGCACATTCCCGGATCGCTCGATGCCGCCAACAGAGTCACCAACGGCAATGGACGAACGAAAACCTAAGAATGTTAAAGGTGAATTTATCTTGATGAGCGCTTCGTTTTGGTTTCGTTGCGTGGCAAAGTCTGGCTTCTTCCCATTGTGTATATTTATATCCAATCGAGAGTTTCGCTTCGAAGTAAATAGATGAATGAGTGAAAAACTGTCTTTGCGATGAGCGTAATTTTATTAATGGCGTCCCGCCAGTCAGAGGTCAAAGATAGCGGCGAGCCTCAAAAGCCCGAAAGCCTCACAGCAGCCGCTGAAGCCAAGAAGCTTCCACTGGCTACGGCGCGAGAGGACGCAGAGAGAAGAAGATGAAGAGGGTAATATCAATTGCCAATTATTGAGCGGCCAACGTGACATCATGCGAGCCGAGCCAGTCGGTGATCCTCATGCGTATTGCGCTAACTGCAAATATCCCCGAGCGATCCCCGAGGATCACCGAAACGACTTTCGACGCACGGAAGTCGTAAGGTCTATTCGACCGAGCGAGACCTTCCGAGTTCAGAACTGACGATTTCGCAAACATGTTCCCGGAGCGGGATCGAGCATCTACCGAAGAACGTTCCATCAGAACCTCCATGGGACCATTCCTCGAGATTTCGGTCTGGCGTTCCTTGAGAATCTCCGGGGTTTTTGCGAGGAGGAATCGCAAGCGAATCCGCGAGTGAGCTTTGATCGTGACTGCCGCTCATTATATTGACGAGCCACCTCATACATACATACTCAAGGCCTCGGATCAGCCTACGGGAGATTATTTTTCCGTACATACCGGGGACGTTGACGGTTCCCTCTCGAATGGGATCGAGTGTGAGAGCCCTCGGGAATTATATCTTCATCGTTTCTGGTTTCGGAAGGATTCCGACGATCGACGAGCGGACGCAGCCGTACAAAGAATCAGGACAAGGATCTATCTCTTCTATTTGGGAGTAGAGGATCACGCTTCGGGTGTGACTCTAGTTTCGGCTGCTCCTGCTCCGCACTTATTTGCAATTGTGGAGGATTCGAATAACTATCTCTGTCAAAAACTATCTCTCGATCCTTCATGCTCGATCGGCTAGCCTCTTTCAGGAGTGATTGACGCGTCGGGTGGAGTCGTCTGTTGTCACAAAGCGAAACGAGCCGATAGAATTCGAGGATCTTCGAAGTCGGAGTCGAATATTCCAAGCCTGTCAACGCCCTGACAGATTTGGGGGAAACGATCTTCTTCTGCGAGTGTCCGATTCCGGTAAAGCCGAACCAGTTCTTCACGGACGCACGTCGCAATCCATCAAGCGGCGAATACCAGGGCTTTCAAGAAATACGATATTCTTAATCGATGCCGCATCGATACATGCGTTTTCCGAGCGAAATAATAAATTGTTCAGACTTAGTGCACTAACGAAGCGTTCCACGTCCGATCGACCGATCAGCGTTTGGAGGAATTCCTTCCAAACGCTGCTCGTTATCAGAGCTGAGTACATGCCTCCTTACGATGGCGCTCAGGGGGAAGCTTGTTAGAAAGAGAAGAAGATGCTCACACGGCTTTACCGGTAACCTTGTAGCATCCGATTCGTCCATAGTCGCCGGTTCCCACCGACGGATCTGGTTCAAGCAATTTCAAATGACAGCATTGAAGGAGGAAACGTCAGGCTTGGCGAAACGAGATCATTTTTCAAATGTTTTTAACATTCTAACTAATCGGAATGGCAGCCAAGCTGACGCCGGCTTCTGCACAGGGTGCCACAGGCCGACAGAAGTACTCCAAGTAATCACCGAGGATTGTGTTACAGAAGGGACATTGAGGCACTGAACACGGGTACCTACTACAGGAGGAGGAACTCTCAATTCGGATGTCAGACACCCGAAAGACAAGACTCAGAATATCGAGTTGGGATTATAATTCGTCTAGGATTCCGATCGATGCCGCCGTTCGACGAAGAGTAGGTCTCGATCTGATCCGGGGAGCATCCCGGAAGCTCTGGGAATCTCTCCAGAATTCGACAGATTCGAAGGCTCCTATTTGTACCGCTGTAACCCACGTGCGACCGTCGAACCTGAGTCCATCGATGAGCCCAAACCATGTATCGTATGACTTCACTACCCACTCCGGGACTCCGGTAGAAGCTCCTTGTGAGCTCCAACAATCGCGCCTAACGAGTCACTCCCTTGCGCCGCACCTCTGTGTCGGATACAGTAACAACAAGAGAACAACAAGAGATCAACAACGCAGTCGACTCGGCAACAAGAGTTCAATTGATTTACAGGATTGGGTTACAGGAGCCCGAACAACGAGCTCGGGCTCCTCCAGAAGGCCTTTGAAGAAACGTTTGGAGGCCACTTTCTCGCCTTATGTCTGCCTTCATAGTATTGAATGGGCAGGTGGCCGATTTCAGAGGATAATGATCAGAGTCGAGTACCCGCCTTTCGCTCCATCGGAATCCACTTCCACCGTCTAATCAGCCTTCATGAGGACGAGATACGGAAAGGGCCGAGTTGGAACCCAATCGAGTCTGGAAGGATCCGAGACTTTCCTCTTTTGATTTGCGCCCTGAATGTATAAGCGGCGGCTCCGTGGAGGGGAACGTTTCCAGAGACTGCAGAATCACAGTTGCGGGTATGTTGGAGGAGCGTCGTCTCGTGTTGTTTGATCTTCTCCAAAGCGAGAATGTCTACTTTGTGTCAGTGAGCGGCGGCTCAGGTTACAACAAGCTCACATAGATTTAGGGGCTCGACGGAGTCGGTCCATTTGTGCTCATTCACACCTTTGGACTGATATTTCGATGGAGCCACCCCTCCCTCCGGCACACCCGAGTCATGGAGAGATTCTTAATCGGTCTCCGAGAGATTCCGCGGAATTCATCCACTTCATTCGCCTTCCCTCGTCGTCTGGGCTCGAATCTCAGGTTTTCGAGAAACATTCGATCCCCGACCGGTCTCTATCTTTGTCCAATTAGACTTGTGAAAGTGAGGATGGAGAAAGGAATGGCATCGGATTCTGTTCAACGACCCGGTTCCATGACAGAATGAATTTGCCGCCGGGATTTGAGCTACACATCTGGTTGGGATCGATGTCACTGCGCATATTTCGACTGATTCACTCTGTTGTGGTCCGAGCTCTCGTTTTCAGAGGTATCTTCATCGAGCCACTCGTGTGGAGCCCTCAATCGCGATTCCACTCGGTGCGTAGGCAATATGCTGCTCGCAACAAATCTCGACCCGAGTCGACCTATGGCACCTACTTATGAAAGCGTTGTTCACACTAAGGTCTGAATCAGATGCTATCGGACACCTTCGTACGGATCGATTGGGTCTTCTAATATTGCCGTCCAGATCCCCCTGAGCCTTTGTGTGCATGGGTATTCGAGATGCTATCGAGTTCCAGGACAACACCGCCGATGTGAAAGATCTCGGCTACCTGACTTGAGCTCGAGCGCGACCCGACATCTGTCTTGGACCCGGAGGAACGATTTACCTGATTAGGAGACTCGGCTTCAACAGAGGAGAACAAGAACCATCGCAAGGGAGGTCCGCTGCTTCCGAACTCTTATGCCCGAAGCTCCGAGATGATACTAGGTAGGTACTTTGATATCATTGATTTAATTCCGGAACTTGATACTCGGTCCGAGGCTCAATGGGACGTCCGACCTTTTCCCCATCGTTGGTTTCCGTACTGGAGCTCTCTCATCACCCGAAAATCCGGGTTCGTCTCGCTCGGACGAGCTTGGAATATGATGTGGGTTCACGGAGATGGCATTTCGTTCGAGAGCAGAGAGATACCCACCTGTTGTTCCGAGCAGCAATAAATCACAGAGTTCACTCTTGTTGGACTTCTCCTCCCCGTCGGATCTTCCTCGCTCGCTCATTTAAATAAACAAATGCATTCGCCTTGTCTGCTTTCGGAGTTGTCACCACACGATGGCTTCGGCGGCAGTGACAGCGCTTGACCACCTCGTGGCCTCTCTTGTCTCAATAGCCATTTTTCATTTCTTATCATCACCGTCTTTTGCTCGACTCCCAACAAACTCATGCTTTTATAACGAGCTGGCGAGTTACTCGGACAGGGTTGGATCTCGTTAAAAGTGCTTTTTCAGCCGCTGGGTCGGCGCTCGTTCTTGTATCCAGTTCATACACCGACTCGCGAATTCATTTCCATTCCGGCTGACTTTGAGTGCGCAGCGGTACGCTGGGAGGGGGCGAGCACGGTAGTCAATCGTCGCATTTCGTTCTGAGGGAGATTAACACGTACTGCATCATTGTCGAGCTCCGACATATGCCTCGCCCTTGTGCTCCGACTCAATTAACACTTTCCCCGGTGTCGCTCGAACCCGGGCCCGCGGAAGTTTGACAAAGGCTTCCCCATTGCTTCCTCTGTTTAGTTTGAGACCAAAATGATCATTTGAAAAATCGGAAACTCGCAGAGGGAGAGGAAACAGGGGAAGACGAAACTCGACGCGGCGATCAGACACGCAAACAGATAGGGGAAAGTTGGACGACGACCCGACGAGTCGGCCGAACTTCACCAAAACGGAACCGACGAAGCCCGTCTGAGTCAATTTTGTTTCATCGTTCTCGCGACCGCGCACCAGATAAAAGAAAAGTAGAAAAAGCGTTTCCCTGGTTAATTTTTTTTGACATCTAACTTGCGTCGCGCTTTTTACGAAGCCGCCCTACTGGGCGTGCCTTCTTTGATCATCGCTGCCAGTTTGGTTACTGTCCGCGCAGACGATCGACCTGCTTGTCGGTCGGCCGGCTGACACACGATTCACTCACACAAGCGGACACAGACGACCAGAACACAATCTACAAATAATTTTTCAATTTTATCGCCGACTTTCAAATAGAAGCAACGCAAACATGGAGGAGCAAATGGGCACCCGAGTTCAATTGGCGCCGAATCGCCGCATCTAGATAAATGATAATGACCATCACGAACGCTATCAGCACCGTCGCTAAGAATCGAACGTTACGGTGCCATTGCTTGCGGGCTCTGGGGAGCGCGATTGCCCGAAATCAGCCTGGGGTCCAGGAGTCTCCGTCTGTCTCCTAGAAATCTACGGCACTCTTGTGATCCGCCTATCTCACTTAAACATCCATGAATCACTCAGAGCGCGAATATGGCTCTCGGGGAACGGGAGACGTATTGCTCCAATAACAATTATCTTGTTCTTTCGTTGCGCTTCTTCTCGAGTTACTCCTTTTGTGAGTCGCTGTAGAGCATTGTCGAATACTCCGTGAAACGTAGGAGTCAATGCGATCACTTGAAAGATTAACAATCATTGCCTTAGCCTCCTCGCAGCGGCCAGGCGTCTGTGCCGCGCGAATAGACGGTCGAAGCACGCATGCTTTATCTGGAACCGTGTGGACACGGAGTAGAGGAATTCGCCTTCTGACGTCTGAAAGAGTGTAAGTTGACACGTTTCATCGTAGGGAAAATGCATTCTTGGCACTGTCTTTCATGAGACGGAATTTCGACACTGATTGACTGAGGTGCTGAATCAGAAAGATCCATCGATCGAAAACAGGCGTTTTGCGGCTCGTTGGGACGCGTCCCGGAGTTCTCCTCACTCAACTGAGTTTTCACATTTTGATTCGATTTCCCCACAAGCACGCTTTCTTGTGACGCTGAAAACAGGCCTCATACTATCGAGCCGGGTGACACATCCTTCTTCGGACGAGAGAAATATTTCGTCTGAGGGTATATTCTCGCAGTGAAGATCTCGTGCCCCGATTTATCTTTCGAGAAGCTCTATTGACTTTATGAATTGATTCTGCTCGCTGCTGCAATCTGTCCAAGAAAAAAGGATAAATGCCGGGAGTGAAGGATTCGACGCCCATCCAGCCGCAGAGTATGTACTCCGAGTCACTATGACCTGGTGGCGCCCTCTGTGGTTTGGGCTCAAACGAGTCTCCTTTTGCGGACGTACTCTCTCCGCGTTGCTGTCATCTGTCTCCCCGAAAGCACATGCGTTTGTTGTTGCGAGCTACCAGTAGCGTGGAAATTCCACACCTTTCGCTGTCTGTGAGGAATTAAAGTCGAATTTTTCTAATGGTTTATGCAGGACGGACTTTCGATTTGATATCGCTCGGTGAGTATCCTTCGTGTCTTCGGCGCTACGCGCAATCCTGTAGACGTTGGAGAGCAGAGCAGCCGCGGGACCGTGGGGGAACGCGAATGCGAACTTTCGTCTTTACTCGCTCTCGACTCACAGGACTTTCCTCTCCGCAGTCGCGCTTGAATACTGTGAGCATGCCGCAAGCCGTGGTTTTGGGCGGTCTGGTCACTGACCTGCTGACTTACGCCCCCAGGTTCCCTGTCGCGGGCGAAACTTTGGTGGCACATGGGTTCCAGATTGGGTTCGGAGGTTAGTGGAGAGTCTGCCGAGCGCTCAGTGTTAGCCTCCTGACATCAGAGCCCTCACCGAATTTTTATGTCCTAACAGGGAAAGGAGCGAACACGGCCTACATGTGCGTCCAATTGGGGTTGGAAACTGCGCTTCTGGCAAAGTTGGGTGATGACCAGTTCGGGGAGAATTACCTGAGGTATCTGAAGACTGCCGGTATGGACACGTCGCACGTGACTGTTCAGAAAAACTGTAAAACTTCTGCGTCCGTCATTACTGTGACAGATTCCGGTGAAAACACGATTGTGTACTATCCCGGAGCTGCGGACGAGCTCGTCGAAGAGGACGTGGACCGCGCTGAGCACCTATTCCGCGGAGCCAAGGTTTGTTTCTCGAAAAAAATTCCGGTATCTGTGGAATCATTCATAGACCGGAGCTGGGTGGACCTTCTGAACGATGATGTTTCGTCTCCCGCCAGGTGTTTGCCTCTGTTTTCGAAACGAAGTTGTGCAACGTCAAGCGAGGGGTCGAGATCGCAAAGAGAAACGGACTCATCACCTATGTTAATGCAGCCCCGATAGTTCCGGACCCCTTCCCCGTAGAGATGCTCCCTCAGATCGATTACTTGTGCCTTAACGAAGTCGAAGGTTCCGCACTAGTATGCAAGCTTAAAGGAATTCCCACCGAGTCACTCGAAGAGCAGGAGATCGTGGACTATCTTCTGCAACACGGTGGAAACACAATCATTCTGACGAGAGGAGCGAAGGGCGCGGCCTTCGCCACCGGTTACAGCCCACTGTCCCGAAAACTCATTGGCCCGAAATCTCAATGGCCCGAAAAACCATTGTCCCGAACGGTATCTGTCCCGAAAACTCATTGGCCCGAAAAAATGAAAGCTCAGCGTTGCTTCTATGCAGAGATGTGCATCTAGCACATTCTTTTCGCTCTTATATTATGTCATATTATTACGTACAATCACAGGGGGATCACAAAGAGCCACGGCTCAAGACAACCAACGTCTTGAATCGATGGAATTGATACAGTTGAGTGGTTACAGCCCACTTGAGTGTCATTGGGAGTACAACGTGTGCGAACAACGTCTGAGGTATTCTATGAGAGTGATTTCATGGTTTTCATATTGTCGTACGATGCGCTCCAGTCTTTGTATTTAGGAGTAATGTATTTTTCCGCTAGCGGCTTCGGAGGGTGCCCGACGTCCAATAGAAGTCTGTCCGACTTGTGCTTGCTCTGGTCCTGTTTGAGATGGCCTATCAAGACAAAGATGTTCACGTGGCTTTCCTTGACCATTCGATTCAAGGCACTATGCCATGCTTCGATATTATTTGTCGTGCGCGGTCCAAAGTTTCTAAGGGGAGGAAATTGAAGGATAAGGCAACACAATCATTCGTACAGTACCATCCGGACCACGACAAATCATTTGAGAGCTCTCACCCATAATGGTTCCACAACCGACGGGGAAAAACCGTCTCATTCTCCAGCCATGTGTGTATGACATACTCTTTGAGCTCGTCCAATTTGGCATACGCAGCGTGATCAATAGTGGGAGATTCACTCTGAAGCTCCAACCACGCATCATCGATGAGATGCTCCGGTACTAAACTTAGAGCCATCACGCCTTTGACGAAACTGCGGATCAGAGTCGATTGAGTAATGCTGCCGAGCTCAAACTTATATATATGCATGGTTGGATTGTTTCCATCACTGGATAATTGATCTACCTCCTGATGCTCGGATCGTTATCGTAGAAGGTTCGGAGACCGACCTGCTGGGTTTTCCTCCATATCGCTTGAGAAAAATGGAAATTGCATCCCTTTACTTCCGTTCCTGGGAGCGACTCTTCGATTGCCTTCAGACTTGAAACTTCAAAGTCTAGTTGCATCTTTGGAGGTTGAAAAACCATATGCCGTGTCACAGCGAAGGTCTTCAGGAGCGTAAACATTCGGATGTAAGTTTCCTTCTGTTTATCAGGGAGGAGAAAATACACGAGCGGCATCATTTGCCCCCGATATTGAGCGTGGAGCGTATAAAGCTGAGCGAACAGATGAGGCACGACCTTGAAGGTCCCGTCCATGTAAATCGCGTCAGCACGACAGAGGATCGTCATAGCTTCTTCGGTCGAGAAACCGAGGATTCTGTCCGTGGTTCCATCGTCAAAGACTAAGAAATCCTCCCCGTCCAAGGTTCTTGTCCACGTATCGCGAAGCACGATATCAGACCGACTTAACGGCAGCACCGGTCGAACCTTAGCTCGCTGTCGATGCAAGGAGCTTCGAACCTCTTCAAAATTCGGCAAAGCAGCGCCGATCTCTTCGGCGGCGTGATCTTGTCGAAGATTTGCAATACTCCGAACGAGGACTTCCTGATACACTTGTTTACATGATTTGTCCGGTCGAAGCAGAAGCGTTCGTTTCATCTCTGTCTTTGCAGCGCGTCTGATGCGATCACGACGTTCCTCTTCGTGATTAAGAGTCCCGGACGTCCTGATAATTTCGGCATCGGCTCCCTTGGAATAGCGAAACGGAGACTCAGGCGCGTTTTCAACTTCGTATACCCGGAATATCACGATCGATGATCAGTTAGATTATCTATCAGGGATAAGTGAGAATCTATACCTTGACGACTATGATTCGAGCAGAACAACCGTCCGACTTTTTTCGAATGCACCGACAATAATGTTTCTGTTCCTTCTTTTTGTCGACTTCGAAGAGGAAATCGTTGACACGGTAGAGACTATTCGCCCAAGCGGACTCGATTTCTTCCGGGATCATCTTCCCGTCGACGCGAGAGACACAAACGATCGCGCAAGAGTGACTTGCGGAACATCCACATGTCACATTCAGTCAGCTGCTGAAGCCCGCGCAGAGAGGATTAAGGATAGAGATAGAGAGGCGTAGAAGTCTCCACTGCGGCTCACTCGCCACATCTCCGCATAGAAGCTTCGCTAAGCTCTAAATTTTTCGGGGCAATGCGCTTTCGGGACAGATCCCGTTCGGGACACTGGGTTTTCGGGCCATTGAGATTTCGGGCCATTGACTTTTCGGGCCAGTGGGTGCACACCTTCGCCACCAAGTCATCCCCCTCTTTGAGCCTGGTTCCCGCGGTGAGAGTTGGGAACGTGGTTGATACCACAGGCGCTGGCGATGCTTTCAATGGAGCTTTCATCTATCAGTTGATCGTCAACAATCATTTGAGCATCGAAGAAAAGATTAGAAAGGTCAATGGAATCGCTGCGCTCACCGTTCAAATTAAAGGGACCCAAAGCAGCTACATGCCCAGGTCGAGCGTTCCTGAAGAGTATTTGTGAGTGAGAATCGCAGATATGCCGAGCTGTCCTTTTATTGAAAGAGTACACTGTGAAACACGCCCGCGTTGGAATCGGCCGAACCCTCTTCCATCCCCGGTCGAGATTGGTCACAACATCGGTCCCTCTCGGGGAATCTTGACTAAGTATAATAGAGAATTGATACACAAGTCTCCTTGCATAGAATCTTGAGCGGAGGTGAGAAACGGCCTGAGTTGATGCTGTTTTCAATGAAGTCCTGGAGCTCATATGTACAATCGAGGGAAACTTCAGGTATTCGGTGGAATGATAAGCTTTTTCTACATGCAGGATGGAAGGAGGCATGATACATTTTTCCCAGAAGTGGTGAATTTTTACATTTACGGAGCGATGATTTGGAATAAAGTCCAACCGAGAAGGTCAGATTTCTTCTTTGACTGTACCCGTAACCCCAAGTTCTGCTTTGATTTTATCGCCGATATCGCTCCCATTGATTTCAGACTCCTGCTTCACATCCTTGATATACACTCGCTCATCTTCCTCCTTCTCGATTTTTCGTTTCTTCCTTCGGCTTCCCTCTACCGGCTCCATTTTCTTCTTTTTCGGCAGCAACAACTTCGGCAATTTCTCCACCCACTCCCCGGTGTCTTTCTTCGTCGGATCCGAAGTATCCTTGTATTCCGGAATCTTGAACCCGAGTTTTTGGAAGAGTTTCTCCATGACGGTATCCACATAGTAGCTTATCCTGAGATCACACTTCTTGTCCAGTTTCGTCTCTTGAAGATTCACAACAACTATCTTCGCATCAGGATTGTTCTTTCTAGCCTGGAAGGAGGAAGAGAATGTGAGAGAGGATCTCGCTTGCAGGGCATTCACGAACATTAAGGCATGACGCTTGGGAGAATCGCGTCCAGGAAAAATTGTAGTAAGAATAACTCACCTGGAGAGGCATCGTTCCGACGGGTAAAATCTGTAATGTGCTACCCAGGCATATAACCAGGTCTGCGTTCCGGCAATGCTCAAGAGAGGCTTGCAATCCTTCGACGGGGAGTTCATCCTCCCAATCAAGGATTGAATCGCGGAGTTTGCCACCCCTGCACGATTTGATGTTTCGACCAAGTCTCTCAGCCAGACAGGGCTCTCCTGTGAGCTTCTGACCAACCTGAAAACGAATTTCGAATACTTTGAATTTCTGGAGCCTTTTCACTTGGAGTCCGAATCTCGCTCACTCGCCCGCCCCTCGGAAATCTGAGGTACGATTGAGCGATCCATTGGAGTGATCTGAAATACTTACAGTTCTAGTGCATCGTCTCCGGATGAACTGGCGTTTGCACTTCTGGCATTTGTCGACGAACATATTGCCGTGAACGTCGGTCAGCCTGTTCAGAGGGAAGCCGCTCTTCAGATGGAGTCCGTCAACATTCTGCGAACAGATGAAGTGGAGCTTGCCCCGTCTCTGGAATAATCGGTCTTCGGTCAGTATTCCGGATCGCGGAGAATGGGGGAAGTACGCTCTCGGGTGAGCTGTATTACTGCGAGACCTCGAACTCAATGGAGCGCTTACCTGTAACTCGACGAGAGCCATGTGCGTTTTCGTCGGAACAGCGTCGTTGAAGGAGATGTTGATAGTGGGTTTCTCCCCTTGCTGTTCCTTCGTCCAGACTCCGTTGGGTCCTCTGAAGTCAGGGATACCAGCTGACGTCGATATTCCGGCGCCGGTGATCACTACCATGTGCTGGCTTTTCTCGACCCATTCGGCTAGAGTTGTTATCTTGCTATCCAACTCCGGTGCGGCATCGAAGACTTCAGCTTGTCCGCACTTGCCTAGAACAATCGAAAGCTAATGTAAGACATGCGCGTATACTCTCTGGATGAATTCCGGATTGCTCTAGCGCCGCGGGGTTCCGGATCCAATATTTAAAATACAGCTGTTGGAATGGTCGCTGTCAGAGCCTTCGGAAAGTCTCCCAGACTGATTCCGGAGCCGGGCTCATCCCGTGAGAAGGGAGGCCTCACGGATACACACGGCAGATACTCGTTCACTCACCTTTGTACTCATAAGGAGACAGACCGTTGGCATAGTCACACGACATTTCCGCTCTTTGATGTTCGGGTCGGTGCTGGAACACTATGCTACCTCTCAGAGACCTCTGAGTGAAGCATTCTGGAATAAGTAGTGATGGACTCTGATTATATGGGCTATCTCCTCCTCCCTCCCAGCCACTCTCACTCTGAAACGAACACTGTTTGTAAATAGAGTGCAGAAAGAGAGTAGGGGAGAGATCGAAGAGGCTCACGGACTGGGACGAGGAGCTCCGCCGCCTCGCCTAATCGTGGGACGAATTCTCGGAGGGGGGATTCCCGAGACGAGAGAAATTTCGTACTCTTTGCGCGAATACGAAATACGATCTAATTGATCGAATGCTGGTGAGCTCTGAACGATGAGGAAACTCGCGACGAATCGCCGCCAAGAAAAGGCATGGAAGCTTCTATGGGTGGACGGTTGTGGGAAAGGGAGAAAGTTGTGCAGAAAAGCAGATTGAAGAAGCCGGCGGCAAACACGCGACTTCAGCGGATTAACACCACGAGAATGCTCCGCAAGTGCTTTTTCGATATGTGAATGACATCCGGGTCTCTCGACCGAGTCCGAACTGCTTATCCTTTTACTGAGAGTCCATCATAGGTTGGTGGTAGCGGAGAATTTCTCCGGATAGGACTACCATGACAGCATATTTCGGAATAATTATCATCACGTCGACGGACCAGATAATCGGAGAAGGGAGATTTCTGTGAACTTTATTCTTCCACAGTGTCGGAGCGAAAGATCGGATACTCATTATGACTGTTGGGATACAGTATCGAGACTTGATCTCCTATTTGCGCACATTAGAATCCGCCGTCCTGAATCAACTGTATAAACATCCCGCGACATGCCTGGCCATTTTCAGAAGACTGCCACCATTGGGTATGAATTTGATGAATGAACGAGAAATCCGCATTCCATGGATGAATGAGAAATGGGGTATATATTCCGATTGAAGTGGGTGGTTCTGTGTAACTGAAGCTCGGATCTGTTTTTATTTCTGCAGCTCGGCAATATGTCATACGACTCCTGCACATCCGACAGGCCGTTCCGCAAGCTGTGATAAATTCTTGGTACGATCCGGAAGCTGCCCGCGATCACACTTCGTCCGAAGACGCCCTCCTCAGTCTCAGATTGTGGCATGAAACAACATTGCCGGGTACGCAGCGCTCGCCAACATCGTAAACTGGCTGGAATCTTCGAAAACGAATTCGAAATAAGTCGTCTCTCTCTCCTCCCCTACAGGCGGTTTACCGGGCTGGCAATTGAACCCCACATTCCAAGAGATGCTAAGACAGGCTCTGGCCGGGGGAGGGGATCCGTGGATTGTGTATGGCGAGCTGGACAAAGACAAGCACGGCAGAGATACAAAATTTCTCGATCAGTACGCTCAGGAGCGATGGGATTGTGTTCTGCACTATATGGTTGGCTCAGAGGTGGGTTTTTACGCAGCGACTGCATGATTCGATAATCTCGCACTCGCTCGACACAATGAGATTGATGACTATCTCACCGATCTCTTTTCGCGCTCAGGTGAACTCAGAAAGTGGGATATCTCAAGACGCCGTTCGGATTTTGCTGCACTCGGGCTTGATGAAAAAAGAAGATGACTCCCCAAATTCGAAAAACCTCATCACCATGGAAGGGTTCCAGTTCCTTCTGATGGATACTGAAGACCAAGTTTGGTACTTCATTCTCCAGTATCTATCGACCGTCGAAACACGAGGGGTCTCTCTCGTTGATTGCCTCCAGTTCATTTTCCAACTGAGTTTCCTCACTCTCGGCAAAGACTATAGCATTAAGGGTGTGAGCGAGAATTTACTGGTGTTCTTGCAACATCTTCGGGAATTCGGTCTCGTCTACCAGAGGAAACGGAAGTCAGGCCGCTTTTATCCGACGCGATTGGCCATCGGTTTGGCCTCTGGGCTGAAAGAACTCCAAGCTACAAAAGACGAGCAGGGATACATAATCGTCGAAACCAATTATCGCGTCTATGCATATACAGACTCGCCGCTACAAGTTGCTCTGTTATCGTTGTTCTGTGAGCTCCTCTATCGGTTTCCTAATTTACTCGTCGCTGTTCTCACGAGGGAGAGCGTCCGTCAAGCTTTGAAGGGAGGGATCACATCGAATCAAATTACGCACTTCCTGAAAAGCCGGAGCCACAGAGTGGTACTCGAAAGGGAGGAAGGAATCATCCCGATGACCGTGACGGATCAGCTGAGACTCTGGGAACTGGAGCGCGACCGTTTCAAGTTCGGGGAGAGCGTTCTCTACTCCCAGTTCCAGACAACAGGGGACTTCGAAATGTTGAGGAACTACGCTCGTGATATTGGTGTTCTGAAGTACGAGAATCCTCAAAAAAGATTCCTCGTAGTCAGCAAGAGCGGGGATGCCGAAGTCCGGCAATTCTGGAAACGACATAAGAAGGACTACGATTGAATAAAGGAGCGTTGAGATTCTGTTCTTTGCGCGTAAGGCTTCTAGATAGTGAATGAAATGAGTCACCGATTGAGGGGTGATAGAAGCTCGACTCTGATGGGTATCAGAGCGAAATTCGAAAATGCCACTCGATTGTGAATCAGCATTGCTGATCGGGCGTCGCCGACCACCTGAGTTCGACAGCTGCGTTTGACTTATTCGACTGCTGGATGACTATGAGGATATGATTTGCGTAATCGATACGCCGTACAATCTTAGTGGTTTCCTCCTTGGGTCGATAAGGGAGGAAGTTTCAACATTTCAAGGGCCTGTTGAATTCCAGCGCATCGCTTCGTTGGAAAAGTCAAGCTAGCTGCTAATCGGACACTCGCTCCGAGTAATGCGACAAGCTGGAGCTCGGCCTCCCCGCGACTCCTGATTCAGAAAGGATGTACCCAAGTCACCAGAAAGCTCATGTTCGTCGTGGGACCAAGGCTCTATCCACCTGTTTCCGGATAGGTGACAGCTGTTACGGGGAGAAAACGGTCTCGCCAACCTTGTTGCGAGAGTTGATTTCTAGATTAGCCTTCTCTCACCCTGTGGAGCTGGATGTAGCGTAACGCTATCGTGTGTCTGTGGGCTTTTGAGCCACCGTCGTTGAGATCGCGGTCAGCCAGGTTCCCGGAAGCCCAGATTGCTTGCTCAATAGCCGGGGACTGGTGCGGTGAGAAGTCCCGGCAAGAAGTTTTTCCCGGAAAATCAGTGATCGGATCGGATGTATTCTCTGTAAAGTTCCGATCAAGTAAGTAGCAGCTGTTGCCGCTTGCACTTCCCCAATCAGCCATCTCATTTGCCCGAGTTGCAAGCATCCTAGCGTGTAATCAGGGATAAGCCTGCCTTGATTCATCGGCCGATGAGTTCACGATCAGCGAATGCACGGATTGCACTGTGGATGGCGTTCGGAGTTTGGTAGTGAGATTCCGTCAGATTCAGATTCCGCAGGGGGGACGAAAATTTTTTTCTCAATTCTTGGAATGTTCGGGATTGAAAGACTCATTTTCAATCCGGTAGCGTAAATCGGAGCAGAAGGGCTGTCAGGATCTTTTTAGACTCTACAAATGTATTCGCGGGCGTGAACAGTGCTCTCAGGGGATACGGATCACGAACACGCGGTAGCAGTACCCCTGAGGAAGCAAAGAAATACGGGGGAATTTGTGGGGGTCGGATGCCCGGATTCGAGTGAGTTATTTTCCGGGGAAAAAAGGGCCATGACCGTTCCGCGGTCCAGCGGACCTCTCGAGAGTCTCCATTGATGGCCACCAATGCTGTCTTGAATCAGCCCAGGCTTAGGGAGACGAGATATATTCCGATTCTGTATCGACCCTTGAACTGATAAGTATCCCACTCGCATTGAATCCGTTTCACAGGTCCAGAACACGAGGAGGAAGCTCAAAAAGCTCTTATCTATCTCAGCCTAGGTCCATCAACTCGAAATGACCGAACCAGTGAATAGACAGCCTCGATACTGGGAGGAGGGACATCTGAGCTTCTCCGGCGGAGGTTTCATCGGTATCTATCATGTAGGCGTCGCTATAGCCTTCAAAAAATTTGCACCGCACATCACATCGCGGAAGGTCCTGGGCGCATCATCGGGCGCCCTGGCGAGCATGTGTCTGGTGACGAACATGCCTATCGATCAAATCATTAAAGGAATAGCGACAATGTCGACACATTGCCGCTCTCTGGCCCTCGGACCCTTCGACCCAAGGTTCAGCATCTTCAATATCATGAAGACCGCGCTAACAGAAAACGCCTGCGAGGACGCTCATCAAATAAGCACCAACAAATTGTTCATCTCTCTCACGCGGGCCACCACGCTGGAGAATAAAATGATGAGCGATTTTGAATCCCGGGAAGAGCTCATCGACGTTCTCCTCGCTTCCTGCTTCATACCCTATTTTCTGGGTCTGGTTCCACCGACGATTCGCGGGGTTAGTTACATAGACGGAGGTTTCACCGACAATCTCCCGACGCACGATGAAAACACGATTACGGTTTCGCCATTCGCTGGAATGGCAACGATACGGCCTCGACCGAGTACGTCAAAGTTACCGGACATCATCTATACCCCCGAGAATGCTATACGCATGGTGAAGACAGTTTTCTCACCCCCTCCGAAAGCCCTAGCTGAAGTGTGTCAAGAAGGATTCAAGGACGCTCTGGAGTTCATAAGAGAGCATGATCTATTCGCATGCGAATCTTGCGCCCTCCTGCCCAATAAACCCGAGACTCGCTCTTGTCGTCGATGCCTCGACCTGATAAGCGAGGCCGAAAACGCGGGTGTCTCCAGTGAATATTTGTGGCCTCTAGAAGACGCCGACCGGGCTGAACGGGAGAAAATTCTCCAGAATCCCTTCCAAAACAGCGCCTTTATGCGCACAATTAAAGTCGTCGCTGCGATGGCTTATTATCCTCTCGACGCTGGTGTGGCCGTGATTCGTAAAACCTATAACTCTTGGGATGATATCTCAGAATTTTTCAAGCGGTGAGTTCAAAACAGATTCGATACCTCATGCCTGAGTTTGGTCCATGCTCTGAGTGTTCGGGGGCTGTATGAGTCTCGCTGATTGTGAGCAAGTGATGAGTGATCGCACCCGCACCAGATATTCTAGGGAGCAAAGTCGTCGCCATCTGACCTTTAATTTTTCTCTCCAACAGATCAACTTGCATTGGAGGGCTTTTAAATTACGCGCAGCCGCTACTGAGTTGTCCCATGAAGAGGAAACGCGCTGTGGCGGATGCAGATCATGAGAATCGCAGACGCGCTCGAGCTGAGGAGTAGCACTCGTCCAGAGCGAAGACGAGTCAACACACTCGTGGGCGAGCTTCTTTGCCGGATATCACATCAACTGGGAATGGATCGATAGTAGACCTCGTTTTTCTGGATTCACACAAATGAATCGTCTCCAAAGCGAGAGGCGATTCATGCGTGGAGGAGCGTCAGACTGTGAATGTCACAACATACTCCGAAGAGGGACTCGAATCTGCTTACTTCGAGCGTAGGCTGATGCCGGAAATCTAGACCACGTCACCTGCGAACACATAGGAGCGGTTCCCGAGGAGGAGGACATGTTGAGAGAATCGGGAAGCGGAAAACGAGATAGAGAACATCCTCAGGAATGACCCCCGAGACCGAGGAAATTTCCTCAGCACTCAAAGAGAAAAAATATTGATATCCGTTAGGACTACCCGCCACTAGAGTGAAGAAGTCATACAGTCGAGAATGAATAGAAACCAATAGCAAATGAAGAGATAAAACTATGTAGAGCTAGTACGAAGCTGGTGTCCGAGTTCCTCAAAAAAGAAGAGATAGATTTCATCCACATTCTTCTCGAGCAGACGATTGCGTGACTAGGAGAGCATACGCTGTAAAACGAGATTAGCGGAGAGACTAGCACGTCACCCCTCCCGAGCAAAGAATCGATCGTCTGACCTCTTACGGCTCCGGAGCTCGAAATTCTGCAGCTGTCTCGGGTGGGAAAATGCGCAAGGATTGTCGCTTATTCTCCGGTTATGCGTAGGAGCTCTCCACCTCCGAGGGTGAGAGAAGGGACTGAAACGTAAATTTCTGATCACGGCCGCACTAATGAAAACCATCGCTCGGCGCACGCCTTACCATCGAGAACCCGTGTCTTGGCGAAACAAGAAGACAATATATTTTCGCATTCATTGGGATGTTTTTCCGTTGTCGTATCTCCGGAGATTAAATTCTAGAAGTCAATCAGCTGTCAGACTCCACCAAAATGTCTCGATAATCCAGGTGACTAGGAAAGCTCTTACTCGATCAGTCTTTCGATGTTCCCTTCGGGTAGTGTGTCCTGGGATGGTCAGTGTGCGTCTGTCCGGCGTCGTCGTCCGTTGCAGCTTTATCCATCCGTCCATACATCGGTCGTCTATATATCTGTCTGTGCGTTCAGTCAGTGCACCTGTCTCGCCTACGTCGCAATCGACAATCGTGCGGCATTGTTCGTGACAGCGAGGAGGGTCCACTGGACATTTCGCTAGCTTCGGCTGTGCATAGCCATTTTCTGTGTGTAACAGCGCGGAGAAGCTAGAGTACTGACTGACTGAGTATTGCGTGACGAAGCCTCAGCGTCGGAGAGTCACTCACATTGACCACTGTGCGAGCACAGGTAATGATCCGAGTCTCGGTCGAGACCATGGCCTGTAGTTCTTGTGAAATCGAACCCCGCGAAGTCAAATCATCTGACCTGCTCGAACTCCTTCTGTGTAATGAACAGCTGCTCTGTACCGTTGCATGGGACACACTCCACCACTGGGTATTTACCGTTGATGGAATTAGCATCTTCGAGTACCTGTACAAAACCGAGTGGGACTACAATCAATGGGCTCTGAAAGTGAGACGATTCTTCGGCAAGTTCCTCCAACGTGAAATCGAACTCAAGCTGTTCCTTGCGTGCGACGAATCGTATCCCGTCGCCGGTGTGGTCCCGTCGAGAGGGAGCACCTTCACGGACCGCCTAACCGACTGCGCTTTCGATGTGAATTACGCTTTCGTCTTGTTCGTGGACACGTGCACCGATCTAGGAATAAAAGTGAACGTCGTTGACGACGCCCGTGAGATGATCGATTTCGCAAACAATAATCGTTCGCCGGTCATCTCTGCCAACACTCGGCTATGCTTATTCGATATGGAGAATGGGGTCGTTCTGCCCCAGGTGCAGACCGAAGGTTGGCCGTTGCTGGTGTATTACGATCGGTACGAACTTCTCCAGAAATTAAATTGTAAAAACGACCGTGTCCTGTGTCAGCTGGCGCTCCTCGAATATCTGGATTGCTTGGAAGATCGAGGCGATTGCTTCTGCCATCTCGCCAAAGACATACGGGTACCGCGCAAGCTTGAGCCGTATGTCGCCACACTCCTCATGCTGAAGGATCTCACGCCGTTCGAGGTCCGTTGGGAGATCGTCAAAAACAAAATAGCGCGTCATCGCAATCTAATCGATTCACATCTCCGTGTCTTCGAAAAATACTTCACGAGTACAAGCGAGGACCTGAGTCGATCGAGTTCCGCCGTGAAGTACTGTCTCCGACGCGGCTTGTCGCCAGCCGTCCTCAACGACAACTGCGTGGATTTGGCCTCATCTCTACATGACGTTATCAAAGTTCTTCTGCGGGGAGAAGGCAGAACATTCCGTAGATCGATGGAGAGCTACGCCGTCGATCAGCTGGTCAGTCTGCAGGAGGACGAGAAGCTTCGACAACTCAAGAAAAACCTCGATCCGAGTCATGACATCGATATTTATCGCATCGAGCCGCCTTCGCTGAGACTTCCCGTGCTCGCAATTAATTATTGGATGATTCATTCACGATCCGCATCTTGCATCGAACGCAATCTGGTTCTGGCAAGCATTCGTATGGCTACCTCCGGCGTCTCTCAACGCTCCTCACCGATGACAAAGCCCCCGGGCAACGTGGAAATCGACCTCGAGACAGCTCTGCCTTTCATGGAACTTCTCCGCGTTTTGACTGCAGCGAAAGTTCTCAATCGAGTTCTCGGCAGCCCACTGCCGGACAAGGGCGTGGAGAAGCTCTTCAACTTTTGGTGCATGTACTTCTGGCGCTTGGAAGTGGACCCTGCCTCGAAGCACTTCCATTACTCATACAGACAATTCGCCCTTGCGGGACGGACCTACGGGCTCCGACCAGAATGTAAATACGGCTGCTATTTGTGTGGAGTCAGGATTTGATATGAGAAATACCACTGTGTTGAGGCGCGCGGACCTTATATCGATGATCTGCGGGTTGATATAGGAGGAAGGGATCCCCCGATTCTCGTGCAAACATTTATTCGCAACTTTTTAACGGAAACACCAGTGGGCTCCGTATCGCACTAAAATGCTTCACCTTAGCTGTACATAAAAGTTTTGATAATTGCTAAAGGTCCTCATTTACTACACTCAGAATGAATGATTCCGACGTTGGGCACTTGAGGTGGACCATTTCCCTTTCTCGGGCCATGTTCAAGAAAGGACTTTCGGGCATAAATCGCTGTCCCCGTGAATTGAGTTGTTGTGAAGTTTACAAAAACAACATTCACAATAACAACCTTTTGAAGTTCACCGCCCGCCGGGAATCCACGGGTCCTCTTCCGGGCATCGCAAATCATAGAACCGAATAGGGATTTCAAGAACGATTTCCCAGGTCCGTAGATATGGTCAATCGTCTCCACGCCGCTCTTGGAAAGTCAGAGGATACGTTTCACAGGGGTAGAGCCGAAGAGAGCAGAAAGACTACTATCGCGCAGTTCCTTGATCATCGAGGCCTCGATTCAGATCTTGCCTGGGGATCTCCGAACAATAAATAAGGGCGAGGAAATGAATTTGATCGAGGGGCCGAGGATACCGACGCTCCCGCCCAGAGCCACGGGTTCCGCATGTATAAAATATGGCAAATCTGCTCGATCTTGTCAACTGGAGCTGAGGAAGTTTCAGACTCCCGGAAAAAGGCCCTGACATAAAGCATTCATAACGTCAGCTAGAGCAATGATCTTTACTGTGAATGAATTACGCTGCATTATCGGTGGACATCTGCACACAAATGTACCCGTGAGATACGTCGGCGGAGAGATTCTTCGCCTTGTGCCGCAAAAGGAATTCATTGTTTGTTACGCATGATACGAGCATGCGATCTGCCTAAAAAAAATACCTATGAGAGGATTCTCGTGTTCCTCATTTGCATTTGAATTTCCCGCGAAGTCGTGCTTTTCTAATAGCCAATTATTTCACGGCGCTGCTCAAATTTGAAACTTTCTGCTTGAACCTTCAAAGTTCTCCATCTCTCCAGTCACGATCCCATGCGAAATCACTGATCGAAAAGCCTCTCATGGAGCATCTTTCGTTTCCCCGGATCCGGAGTTGGGCCGAGCGGCATACTTTACAAATCGGGTCGGAGCTTGCACGTCTTGGAGCCGCCTGTCTCACCTGGACAACCATGAGTCGGAGCGCGTTCGGAAGATAGCTCGATGGTTTCTCGAGCACCGGTCTCATCGGGTGACTTTTGAACGAAACGGAGAATGTTTAGCGCTCAGATCGACTATATATATCTATATATAGATTGAGCCGTATAGATTTCGGGACGCATCCTCTTCGTTCCCGCGGGTCTCGAAGGAATGGTTCCCTTCGCCTTTCCCCGGGACATTGACGTAGCTTGACGACGATCGGTCTTCGGCGTTGTAACCGCCTGAACTCCTGAGGCTTCCGGGAACATTGAAATTCGCGGAGTCATCGAAGGAACGGGCGGTGTGCGGCTGATCGACGAACCGGAGGCGAAGGAAAGACTCCGTGGGTCGTGAGTAGAAAACAGGAAGTTCATCCGCTCAACATTTGGCCGAACGTGAGTTCGCTCCAAGGGTGGCTCCGTTTCCGAATGAATGAGATAATGTGGGTTTTCAGTGATCATAACTGGATACGGCACCGCGTCCGGCATCGGCAAATGACTCCATCGGCAAGCAGTCGGAGAATCTGTTTGTATGCTGTAGGCAGAGGGAAGCTGATTCACCTGTCAAGAGTTTTGAGACAATCGCCACAGTGAGTGTCCCCGCCAAGGCCCAGAGCTGACTGAGAGCTTGATCCAGAGCAGTCCGACCGGGAGGTAAAGGCATTGCATCCGTCTCCAGATCAGGGGAATCGCAGCACCGGTCTGATTCTGCGTATCGAAAACGTTTTGCTCAGATGTCTGTGTCAGGGAAAAGTTCGTGGCCCGATGAGTCTTTTCTGACAAGATTGAGAAATCTTTATAGAGATTTCCCAATGAGAGAGATGGCAGAGTGCGACGGTATTGGATAATCTTAGATTCAGGACTTGTCTCACATGTTAGAAATGATTTTTGGGGAGTCCGTGAGGTGCGCATCCATGAGATCTCACCTTAGGTACAGTGAGCGATGATAGAATTCAGTGGTCGCGGTCCCCGCCACGGTCACGCTCATCGGAGCACCGGAGACTACAGGTATACCGTGAAGGTTCCGGGCTCCGCAAGCATCGAGGACCCCGCATTGTTGAAGGGTCGGCTGGAAGCAGAACAACGTCAGCAGCAGCAGCTAAGGACGTGTGTCGTTCCCGACCAAATTGGAACGGAGTGACCCATGAGCGCTGCGTATGGTCTTCGCAGATCGGATCGTGTATCCGAGCACAGAGGTCGTTCCAGCGAAGGTTCCTATTCCCAGGGCCAAGGTCGGGAAGAGCGGCATGTCAGGCAAAGCCCCGACCGCGACCCCACCTTGATGAGAAACGAGAACTTAATTCATCATGGGGTTCATGTGAGAACAAGGGGAATTTCTCCGAACGTGAAGACCCTACCAGTCAAGGTCGCATTCTGTAGGTTGACCATCGGAAGTTTCCCGTTGTCATCGATTTCATGATTGATACGATGAGAGCGAAAATACAGCTCCCCTCCCATGACCCAGAAGAACTATGCACATAGGTACATATTGAGCACGGCCCTATGTCGAGCGTCGTCTTGCGCGCCTATGGCATTGAAAGAGGGCCGATACATCCACAGAAACGGAGTACCTGAATGCAAAACAAACAAGCGACTCTCTTTGAGTAATCTCAGACCTGGAGTGCGACATCGGGATGCTTGCTGGTCTTGACCTATTATTATCGATCATGGTGAACGGATTGCTACCTCTGTTCGAATCTTCCCAAACCGCTAGTTGCTGCCGGTATTTCCCGTAGATCACGCGTGATACCGCGAGGCCGGAATAGGCGCCGAACGTGCGCATGAAAATCGAACCACCGATATCCACGGCATTGAGAAGTTCCACACCGATGAGCTCGTCGCAGGCAAAAACATCTGCAGGGGGGGATTAGGTCGAAAACTTCATTGATAGGAAGACTTGAGGGCGGGAAGCGCTAACCCTCGTGGAACACCCGTATGGCAGCACCAGGCATAGAGACAACTCGCCTCGACGACGGCCATCACGAGAAATTGCATCCATGAAGCTTTGCCGATGACAACTCCAAATGATGTCGAGACTGTTGCAGATGAGAACAAGTCCTTCAGCAGGCTAGAGAATAATGCATTGATCGAAAAATATGAAAGAATAATAGAAACGAGATGGGGCTTGAGCGCAATTCTCGAAAAGAGCGGACTCAGACATTGCGAAACCGTCTTTGGGCCTCTCAGCCCTCTGATGGAAACCGCGAATGAAACCTTCCTAAGGCTTTTCATCATAGTCCACTCCCTGGAGGAGGGAGCTCGAGAAAAGATCACTGGCCGACAGTGGGAATCGAACCTGCGGACCGCAGCGCCATAGCAACGCGAGCACCTCCGACGTCCTCCACTGCGCTCACTCCGCTCGACCATCGAGCACCGCGTCGGGAGCGCGTGCGGGTAGAGTAGGCGAGCTCACAGCTCAGATCGACATAGCGAGCTCACTCGAGAGCAGTGCTGTACGCCATCTGATTTTTCGCGTCGTTTTCCAGCGGACTTGAGACTCACGGCGCACCGCGCTTCTCTCTCACCCGGAGCGAGCTCCATGGGGAAGTTGATCCCAAGGAGTGAGCTAGGAGCTAGGGTACCGAAGAGGCACAAAGCTCCAGAAAGTAAGAATCGAAGAGCGCGCACAAGTTAGGTTCATCTATTCTCAAGTCGCTTACACTTATTCTGCAAGAACTCTCGATTATCGTGTATGAATAGACAAGACGGCAGGCTCGTCATTCCTATTTAGTCTCTAGATGTGCAGCGAAGAGTCGACAGAAAAACTTATGAATCGTCTCGATTCTCGGATGAGATAAGGTGTCGTCTACGATTCTCATCATCGAGCGAGCGCATCGAGCTCGGCCCAGGTTCTCTTTCTTTGACTCTGATGAACATTTTCTTCTGTATTCCCTAGATTCGCTCCGAAATCTTTCGAAAGGGCTGTTGACTATTCACCTTGGGGATCATGACGGCGCGCCATTCCGCCGCAGGACGCCGTGCTCAGAGCTCGGCGGCGGCGATCGCCGGCGATCCCGGGGCGCGGCGCACAGCTCTGCTCGAGACCTTATAGAGAATACGCCGCGCTGGTCAACTCAGGGCTCGATGTTTGATTTTCCGTATCCAGCTTAATTTCGGGCTGAGCGAGTCGTTCCGCGAGAAACGGGGCGGGCACTTAAGCAGGATGTCAAATGAAGATATCGGCTCGAAGAAGCTGTGAACCGCTAGGATCCGAAAGTAAGACTCTACCTGTGAGTGTTGAGAGCATGAGGACTGGCAAAAGATCTCAGTGCGCTTCAAACTAAGAAGCTCGTTTCTATGGCATACGCCGAGTACACCAAGGTGCTCCGAGGAAGTCATCAGGAAACCGGGAACGATGAAAATCATGACATTAATCTCCTAAAAGACTTCAACACAAAGCCATGCAAGAGCGGGAACCTGGACTAGTTATATAGTCAAGAATCCGAATGAGGCTAGGAGGGACATTCCCGATAAGAGTACAGTACAAACTCGATTATAGCACCCAATTCGTGTTCAAAAATGGTGATATGATCGAGAGTGTGATATAATCGAGTTTTCATAGACTTCCGCGGGAAATCGATTATATAACATCTCCGACTCGATTATATCACCCTCCGAATACCTACTCCATTGAAACAAATAGAGACTCAATTATATCACCCTCCGCCGTTTTCTCGATTATATCACACCGATAGAACGCTCCTGGATGCCGAGCGACCGCTTCATTCAGTGCGCAGGAGCAGTCCGACCTGGACGAGCCTTACTTCCCGTGGATCCTTGTAGCTGATTGTGAGTTTTTCTCGAACGTGAATCCTCCCCGTTGAAGCTCCTCGTCGAGAGCTGTGTCACAGTGAGCGTGATCATGCTCGGAAGGAAGACCAGAACCGTTTTGACCCTCGAGCAGAAAGAAGGAATCCTTCTATCGCTTGAAGGAGGCGAAACTCAAGCTTCTCTGGCCGAGAGATACGGAGTCGACAGGAGCACAATCTCAACCCTCAAAAAGAATGCTTCGAAGATCAAAGAATTTCGCCAGTCTGCGACAGGACAAGGAGCATCATCGAGCGTCAAGGTAATGAAAACCGCGAAAGACGAAATGCTCGAAGCGGCTTTGTACATGTGGTTCGTACAGAAGCGTTCCCTTGGGTTCCCTTTTTCGGGCTCCATCATTTGCCAGAAAGCTCTGGAGCTGAATCAGAAGCTTGGAGGGGACCCTAAGTTCAAAGCAAGTCCTGGCTGGTTGGGGAGGTTCAAGAACCGTCATGGAATCCGAGACTTGGAAATCCAAGGTGAAAGGATTCCAAGGTGAATTTCTTCAATCGAAATGCTTAATTACCATCAATGATTTCTTCTTAATAAATCGCTTTTTAGCTCGAAAATAGTTCTTCTCGATTACATAAATGTTTATAGGCAGTATCGAGACTAGTACGGTTTATTACATGGGACCACTGGCATGAATCGTGAAGGTGATATAATCAATTTTTTGAGAAGTTCAGGGATGGAACATACGAAAAAATTATTTCGAATTTTTTTTAGTTATTTAATCGAGTTTTCCCGATATCTAGACGAGAAAATCAGGGGGATGATATAATCGAGTTCCGAAATTTTCAGGGTGATATAATCGAGTTTGCACAGTATTGATCTCATTGTACCCATGAAGCACGGATCATGATTTTTTTCGGAGGTCATCGTAGTCCATTAGCTATTATCCCAGCTTTCAGCCCGATAGGGATAGTGGCAGCGCCGAGAACGAGCCTGCTTTTCGCCTCCATTCGTAGGCTACTTCCTCCCTCCTCCACTGACTAGCCGTCAGTGAAGCTCCACAGAAAATACCGCGCTCCAAGATTCATAATGGAATCTCATCGAATCAGGTGCTCCCTCTGAGGTATTTCTCCGGTTGAGTCGCCCGAATAAACACGACCGTTGAGCGCTCCGGGAGCGCTACATGGGATATGATTCCGCTCCAGATTTGAGCCGGTGCGAAACGCAAGCATTCTGTGTGGAGACCTCTGGAATCGATGCTCCGCCAAGGGATGCTTAGTAGAAGTTCAGAATCGATCATGAACATGCCGTGATCAGTGAACTCACCCTCAAGATCTATCGGCGTTCATCGCCCAAATCCGCTCGGACCCTTAGCTGCGCCAGCCTTTGCTTCACTAAATGTCGGATCTCTTTGCTATCCACTTGCGATTCCGAGTATTCAAGGAAGAGCGGACTACGTGGAATGGACCACTCTACCCGTCCCGCAGTAGCTTCTTCCTATCAGCTCGTAAAGTTCATTTCCCGAAAGATCGAATGCACACCGAGAGCACGCTGCCTGACGCTGCTTTTGCCGGCAACATTTCAACCCCTCGATATGGCTCTCGAGGAAAGTCTCTTAGCATGGGGGCGGGAAGAAGCATCACGGGAAGACTCTCCCATCGCGCAACCATAGTCCGACTCCAGGAGAGACTCAGGTGCTTCCGAACTTCTGGGAACTTCAGTTTCGTGCTCCGCTCTGAGACGCTTCTGAATCGGCACTCCCGCTTGATTGGACTGATCGCGTCTGTATTATTGCGAATCACGGATCTCGCGTCAAGGGTGGGGAGTGGTTCTCCCCGCACATGCATCTGTCATTCTGGAAGGCACATATACCCTCCATGTATCCATTCGTACACACTGACCGAAAGAGCGTTTGTTGACAGGTGTGGCTTGGCTCCGGACGCGCATCCCATCTGCCCAAATTCCGGGTCCATGCCTCCAAGAGTCTTTGCAGGACTTCTATCAATACCTCTTTTAGGCTCTCTCAGTATCTGAGGGCAGGCATGTCTTGGAATCGGTCGATCATAGATATCTATTCTGTAGGGGCTAGAGGAATCATTGAAACCATGGAGCTGGTAAGCCGTTACTCGACCCATCAGAGGAGAAATACCGGCTAAATTCCGGGAGCGAGAATCCTCCCCAGGAACGAGGGAATCCAGATGGTGTCTTATTGGAAGCTCCCTCGGGAGATATCAGCGCAGTCTAGGGACTCCAGCGAGAACTTCTATTGAGATGAATGAAGAGGCAACCTCAGCTGAGCAATATCGTCGATCACTCAATAAAAGCGGTCGGTCGGTACCGAATACGGAAGATATGCGATTGCAGGTCCGTCGGATCCAATCCAAAGTCTTCCAATTCTTCTTCATCCATTTTGTCTGCTTGCTCCTCCAGAAAGGTCGATGCCCTCTTCTCAGCTGTGGAATCATAGAATGGATGGTTTAAGGAAAAACTGAAGGATGAATGTCTACATGGGGATGGAAACTGCATTCCATTCGTTCGAGGAGTAGGCACTCAGTCGGGATGGGTATAACGGGAAGGTCTGGAGAGAAAGTCGGGATGGGTTCACGAGGTATCGGATATGTCCTTCAACAGAGATATCCCCCCACACTGATCCTATCTTCACAACTGAGTTCCCGCCAGTTCACAATCCATACACACTCACCCGCAATGGTCCTTGCTACGATTATGTAGAGAGCGGCCACTACAGCGAAGAACACAGCAAGAACGAGGCATTCGTCTGACATGTCCAAGGCATGGAAGCTCCCTGTTTCACTTTGCGTAGGCTTCCGAAATTCCTGCTCCCGATCCGCGCTTCTTCGTATTCATCCTTATGGAGAGCTGCGGCCGCGTTAAGCCGGAACAGACGAGCAGTTGAGCTATCGGCTCCTTCGCGTGACTTATTCGGCACGGTCAATCATTGAACCGCCCAAAGAAATTCTACACAATTCCGTAGTCGATCTAGTTCGCGCGGCGGTCGAGGATTGGTCAGGTGGCGAGAGTCTCGCCGTCAGAACGATGTGAAGGTATCCCGCTCTGTTCCACAACTCACGACTGGGAATCCGAGGACAGATCGAATATTTGCGTGTGAGATCTACGGGCGTTTCAGCAAGGACTTGAACACGTCCGCAGAGCTCCCATCCCGATAACCTCAGTTCAGCCGCAAGAGTGTCGAAGTTTGCTAATCGTCGAGCTGTAGTCTCCACCCAGTTTCGGGCCTCCCGACAGAGCTACACCTATAGTTCTAGAGACATGCGCTTTAGTTGAATCGAGATGGTTCAGAATGTGTCGTGAGTCGTGACTCTCAACTGTCGCCATCCCGGACGAACGATCGACTCGAATAATGCCCATATGCCCGACAATCTCTAAGGGTCGGATGAGAAACGGCGTCTCCTGAAGTTCTGTCATCGTTGCTCGCCCGAGGCGCGCGCATAGGCACAATTATTTTCCCCAGAGGAAAGTAGCGCAGTCCATGGTCAAGGGCGAGGATTTATGATCATCACTCATCACTCGAGACGCTCACGAGATCAGATCGCTTGTTTTGGGACCCTGATTCTAGCAAGATTCCCCGCGAGCCGGGCCAGATTCCAATGTAAGAGTTTCAGGTATTCTCACTCAAGATATCTTTATTGCGACGGCAAACTATTACAGAACGAGAATAGTGTCAAAGAAAAGTCTACAAAACGTCAATCGTCCAACGAAACTGCAGAATTTTCGCCAAACGATATTTATCGCAAGAATATCCGACTTGTGTTCAAAGTTTGTTTTTCGATCACTGCTCCCAAGCGCTTAATTAACGCGACATAGATCTATCGTGCCAATCGCCATATCGTGTTTTTGGTTGCCGAGGCCAGTCCGCCTAAGTAATTGCTGACTCAGTACAATATTGTCCAACTGATAACAGGGTATTCCGCTAAACAATGTTCATTCTACTCCCGCTCAGGGATCGCCTCTGATTGACTCACCCTCATCAACTATCGTTAACATTTTCTCTAAAATATCTATCAAATTGTAGATCATGCGGCCAATCAATTGGTTTTGATCCCACGACAGTGCGTGGCAGTTTGGGTATCTGTACGTGCCGATCCGGAATCCTGCTTGACGGCGTCTCTCCCGTCATACTCATTTTCCATGCGAGATAAGGCTTGTATATATGCGACATAAAGTCACTTGTCAGGAATAACGCCGCCTCTGAATCGGACGGCGTGGTGTTTTGCGCGGTCATGAGTCTCTAAAAGCGATTATCAGAAAAAGGGATCCGAGTTATTCGTGAACTCGGAAAATCGGACGAGTAACCTCTCAGGCAGCTGACTCGGCTAATCTGAGGACCTCTTTTCACATGCTATGAGAATGAGCCCACTCAGTTGTGCCTGTTTCAGCACCGTACTGCCACGGATCCGATGAACATTCCGTAAGAAAGCAACTCATCCCGATTCCTATCGTCGGGTCGCTAAGATTCATGGTTGGATTTCGATAGATTCATGGAGCGGGCGGGGGAGGACGAAAGCTTCTAAGGTATCGTCGAATGACGATCGGCTCGAAGCTAGAACAAATGCGCTGGACATATGGAGACTTCGGAAGACCACCGATGAACGCAGTGGTGCAGGACGCGGGAAGCTTGATTGCGTATACAATTATATAAGTGATCACGGTGGCGGCGAATGATAGCACACCAGCCATCAATTCCACATTTCGAGTGAAAAACGGAACAAATATCTTGATCGACGCGAGTCGCACGCGACAAGAATTGGGGGTTCATGTAGGTTCTGTCTGACAGGGTTTAGGAACACAAACTGCGGGCGCCGGAAGGCCGCTGTCAATGAATCGAATAGAGTAACAGTATTTGAAACTCTCGTCGAAAGCGCCAGTCCCATTTCGCTTATCCCATTTCGGCTCTTGTTCTCGGTGAGCACGGGCCATGTTTTCGCCAAACATCATGTAATCAAAGGAATCGAGCTCTGGGTATTCGAAGCATTCGAAAATGAGAAACTCGGCAATTGAATTTCATGAACTCAATGACTGCTCGCTTTCTGAGAATGATAGATCGCCGAGGTCATTCAGATCCGAACATCCGTGGCCGTAATGAAGACATATTCGGCCGATTGTGAGTGACGTTTGGAGAGAAAACAAGACACTTCAACTCTATTCTCTACTTGTTTGCTGTAAGCGAGGTCCTGCGAGCTCGAGGAAGGTCGTACTCCTCCATCGAAAGCGTCCTTCGGCGGCCGACAGCGCCCAGCATCTTGTGGTCACCCCCGGAGAAGGTTCTCTGCCTTTCTACACCCGGGAGGGTGATGGAGGTCACTGGAAGTTAAATGATGGATCTGATTTAGATTCAGAGATTCCCATACGATAATCTGAAGGTCGACATGCGCAGGGACCTCGAACATGTGTGTGACTCAGTCGTTCGGCGCTAACTAATACTCACGGAATCCCAGTCCCTTGACGAAGAGTAAGAGACTTTGGGCTAGTTTCTCGGGCTGTCGATAGAAGAACATAATTAGAGAGTTCCAAAAAAATCGGATTGCATTGGAGTATCAATCTGTTCGCTCGACGACTCACAGCTTCCTGCATGACATCAGCGACGTCGTTGATTTTTAGGATGGATGTTTTCTCCTTGCCCATCTTCTGGTATTCCTTCTCTACATCCGCCGCATAGGCAGCTTTGCTGCCTGTGACCAGCAGGATATCAACATTTCTAGAACGAACATTATCGCTTTCGATTAGATTCGAGTGATTGATGAATGAATTGAGAGTATTTGGAATAAGCGGGAACTCCACAGAGCTCGACAAACAGTCCTCTCCACATCGCACGCTGGTCAATTTTCAAAATTCTCAGGTGGGAGCGAGAGAAAGAGCCCCAACTGCTGCGTACGGCCTCGATGAGAGATACTCACCTTAAGCTGTTCGCAATGAGAGCGCTGATGTCCTTGCGGCTGTAAGAGTCGTGATACATATTGATTGTTATTAGAGGACGATCACTGAGGGAAGACGACAGGGCTTTTTCAGGAGGGTTCCCCCGCAATGCAGTCGACTGGACTCACTTCATGTACGATTGAACATATTTCTTGAGGTTCCTCGGATTCACTTGTTTCTTCAATTTCTCGGTGTACTCGGAGATGAGGGTCTCTTTGTTATCAACCATCTCGAGATGCTGAAAATTCGATCAATATCTCAGGGAACACGAATGAACTACAGAAAACCAGGACCTCCTCTTCCGTGTCGTTAATCATTGCTTACTCTGCAAGCTGTGCCTCGTTAGCTTCACGACTTTGGACAGATAATGCGCAAATTCTAGGGTCGGAAGATATCCGGAGATCGACGGACAGCCTAAGACTCAGATCTTTCCGTGTAGCTACGCGAGCATCTCTCAGCATCGACTCTCATCACTTCCATCATTCGATGGGGTACGACTCTAAAAGCCTCCGAAGCTGTAGCACTCCGCCGCAACGATGAGTGATTTTGCTGCTAATTTAAACTAGGTCGTACAAAACCTACAGACAAGCTCAATGACTACCCAAGTTTTCAATCTAAAATTGGATATTGCAAGGCTGCAGCTGCTATGTATATTTTCCGTGTCGGGTCACACGAGGCAAGGAGAGAGGCTGAGCCGTGCAATGGCCTGCCAGCTAAGATGTGGGCTTTCTCATTATTTACCTCCTGAATGACGTCAGCGAGGCCACGATCAGAACGAATAATGTTAGTTCGGTAATGCTTTCCATAGTAAGTAACTAAAGAATGTGCCGCTCAGAGGAGCAAGGGATATGTTTTCTAGGTGGCAGTATTTCCTCTGATGAAACGATGCACTGATCCCGTTTTGAGGAGGAAGTCACGTCCGAGAACCTCGATTCAGAGAGGTATCCGAATACCAATATTCATAGCAATACGCGCTGGTATATACAGGGACTGCGAGACGATTCTCGAGAACTCGCAGCTCAATAGCATCTTTCGAGGAATTTGAGATACTCACGGCACCGAATTTGTGATAAACCAGGTATTGTTCTGCTGATTGATCCATACCAACACTGGAGAGCTTCCAGTTGAGGAACTGTGGAGAGTCAGTACAATTAGGATCCGAGATCTGTTTCTTCTGATCACCAGCCGTAAAGATTCTTTCTAGAACGATTGCTTCCGTGAAAACAGACCCTGTCCTTGAAGTATTCCATCATGCCGACTCCGGTGGCTATGAGATGGATCAGGACCAGTCCCAGGATTCGCGATGTATGGGCGAGCTGCAAAGCGATCCGAATCGATTGAGCCGAAAACTTCCATCGTCTTTAACATCAGCTACGAGTGGCTGTCTAAGACTCAGTCGGAAACTAAGTAGCACAACAGACTCCAAAAACAGATCTCAAGGGGCAACTCACCGCGAAGCGGACCAGTATGTTGGCTCCAGCACCCTCACCGAATCCCACCACAATTTTGATTCTGCGATTCACGAAAACTTGAGCGGGAGTCCATTAGCGAATCACATTTCATCTCAACTGCATGAATGATTCTGAGACACTTACTTGAGGTGGTCCAGGACCTGAACCAGGTCTTCTCCGATTTGCTGAATGGTGGGGAAGTTGAAGCTGCAGATGAATATATCTCGATAAATGCCTCAATCCGATCGCGAAAAGCGCAATGTTTGTCAAAGATTATAGGATATGTACCAATTCCAACAGCTAGGATTTCTCGTTCCACTCACTCGTTAGGTAGGTCGTCAGAGTTGTCATGTTGACCCGGGATGTCGACGTGGATAAAAACGGATCTCTGCTTAATCTCGGACATACAAGGGTGATCGACAAAGTCGTGGAAAGATGAATCTGGAAAGATCATTGTGTTGAGGAACAATACGAACAATTAGGAGCGGCGGGGATCATGAGCCTATTGTGTCCACACAACTTGCTGCATCCGTTTTCTCCCTCTTCCTAATTTTGACGAATCAGTCTGGACTCAACCGTCGTTATCCGTAGTCTCCATTTTCGGAGGAGAGCGACGAATCACCAGGATAATCCATTTTACAACTTATTGTTAGAAGTGCGCATCCACTGCGATTCCGAGTTCCGAAATATTCCGACGTGTCTCTTAGGAATAACCTCTCCGGCCAGAACAGTGCCAGTCCCTCGAGGGATGTCGATAGGTCGACGGTATCAGAAAAAAAAATCGGATACCGAAAACCAGCATCAGGGAGAGAGTACAGATATTCCTAGATATGTCCTTATCCGAAACTTTGCATGGCACCTCCGAATTCATTACGCCGTATTCTTATGCGCTTCGATGCATTCGATGAACTGGGAACCTGAGCGCTTTTGACGGATTCCCCCATCAGGCTGTCGCCTACGGGAGACATGTAGCTCCATCGGCGGAGTACAAATCCATAAATCAAGGTCAATCAAGCGTCGACGTGGGACCCCCGAAGTACGAAGGGTGGCTTGAGTGCCTCGAACAATGCAGCACTGTGTTTTCGCCGAGCTCTGACCGACTCCGAGGAGTGCGCTGTCAGTTCCTCCCACCAGCCAGTACGATGAGTCGGTGGAGCACAGGAATTCCATTAGGTGTCTTTTTCTCGGTGAAAAGATCTTTACTCGCTTAAAGGAATCCATGGAATATGAATCTTTCATAAAAATTCAAATTCATCAGAAATGAACGAATCGGTCAGATCTCCCGAATCAAGATCTCACTCGATAGTCTTCCAGTCGTGCGGAGTGAGTCATCTGCGATGAATGGTTCAGCGCTCGCGAACGGTGCGCTCGATTTCGTTTACATGAGATCCCGCGTATAAGGGACCTTTCATTTCCGAAAATACCGCTTCGTATAAGGGACTCTTTGTATGAGGAACCTCGCGTATAAGGAACCTCGCGTATAAGGGACTTTCCGTATAAGGAACGTTTTGTATAAGGGACTCCCTGCATGAGGACTCCTCTCATAGGGTACTCTCCGCGTAAGAGATAAGATACTGACGCGAAGACTTCTCCATGAAGAACGTTTGTGGTCAGCTCGAGAAAGTATTCTCCTCCTGAACTCCCACGGGTCGGACGTATGCAGGAGCCCTCTGATGTATACAAGGTAAATCCACACCATTCCCGGGGGATTGCCGCCGCCGTACAGTAGGGCCGAACCCGATTTTAGGCGGCAGAAATTGAAGAGGAAAAATTTGGGAAATTTATGTCGTGGCGTCTTGGGGGAAGTATGGCGACCTCGAAAACACACACCAATCAGAAACCAAGCACTTGTATCTCTGTGGAGAGACTCTGGAAAGAGGAAGTTTTTTTTGCTCCGGACTGTCACTTTTTTCTTCCGATTCGTGCTGACGCTCGAGTTTCCGTGGAATCGATTCAGGTTGGAGCAAACACCGAATCGTAAGTAAGATTGAGCCTGAAACTCCACGTTTAGCGTTTCATTCGCCGATAATATGCAAATTGGAAGTTTTTCTGAGTTCATCCTTTTTCGCGAAAGAAGCCTGATTTTCATGAAATTTCACCTTCGAAAAAGTATATGGACCAGGGTGGACCCGGGCGGCTCACGGGGTTGAAAATCTTCTTCCACCCTCCCTCCTTCCATTTCCGGAAAAAAACAGCAAGTTTTGGCAAACGTAAATGCGTGCTGTTTTCCGATATTCGCATTGGGTGCCCCGGAGGACATCTGCGGAGACAATCTTCAACTCCCGGAAGAACGAGGGCATCGATGGGTTGGAGGAACTTATTTTTAGTCCTGCTCATGTTGAAATTGAGCAACGCAGCAACAGATCTCACATCAGATTGCAGATCAGCAGGCATGCGTCCCGAGTGAGGGAAAAACTCCGTAGACTTATTCAAAAGCGGAACGGTTCTTCGAAAAAGTGGCTGAATGGCTCGAAGCCAAAAACTCCGATTTCATCGTGCACTGAGCTACCCGCACCAGAATACGTGCCCGAGTAGCCGGGACCATCAAAAGCTTCTCAAGGGACACCTCGAGCGGGACGTCCAGAGAAAAATTTCTCGGACCCGGCGGAGAGGACAAAATGGGACAAAGTCAAAGATTTTCTGCCTGCCGGACCTGCAAGGTTATTGTACGCGGCTTTCTGAGAAGAGCAAACATCTTCGATCTCTGCTCGATGTTGATGATATCGCCTGATCCACTCGTGAATTCGATTCGTGACGTTGTGGACCAGAAGGGAGCCCCGTAGACGAGGAAGCTACTGACTCGTTGTTGAGTGTAAGTTCTCGCGATATTCGATGTCACCCGGAAGAATCAGAGCAGCTTTCGGACTCTGAGTAGACTCGGGGCAGACGCGATTGATTCGAGCTGTGAAGGTGAGGCTGTCGCTGACAGTGAGTTCGATTCCGGAGACGAAGAAACGTTTTGAGAAAGCAACAGCTCCTCGATAATTTTTGTTCGTAAGGAAGGCCGAGGTATTGCAAGCGGTACCATGCATATGATTTTGTCCGATCAATGAACATCATGTCGTCCAAATTGCCCACCTCTTGTCTGCCCCATTTCGACCCAGAACGATGAATGAAGGTTCAGTAGAGAGATTCAATAGAGAGATTGAAGGTTCAATAGAGAGAGATTGAAAGCGAATGGAAGCCATGTTCCACCCCCAATCACGAGCAGATAGAAAGCTCAATTGGTTATTTCTGAGGAGCTCAGAGCCAGATATTTCCTCTGATGACTGATACGAGTTCGTACCACGAGAATAATCCATAAAACTCACTGAAGTAATTTGTGTCGCCTAAAATCGGGTTTGGCCTCACTGTGCGCCGTGATGAACGAAAATGCGATTAAAATTATTGTCGCACGCAGATTTCAGATAGGGATTACGCGACGGCAAAATAATTTGTGCGAGCCCGAGTCGGGTGTCTCGCCAGTCACCTTAGGCCTTCCGAAACGAGTTCGAGGGTGAGGGAGAGGGGCGATTCCCGGAAAGCTGAGAAGTTATACTTCCGTCAAGACTTTCCGCCTCTTCTGAGTGACTTACGATTGTTTCCGATATCATGAACGGTCAGGAAAACGGCTTTCTTCTCCAGATTCTCGATATCACCCTGAAAATAATCGATCGCGTAACTGAATATGATTGGGCAGGCCCGATGCTGGATCTCGACAAAGTCCACCTTCGCATGCTCTTCTGCAGGCATCGATCGTTCAAATAGGTCACGTCACTTTGACTCCAGTCACTCTGTTTGATACATTGCTCCCTATTCGTGGCGAGGAGCAATGCCAAGGATTAAGAGATCATATCGATGCAACTGCTCTGACGCAGCAGACTTGGGGCGAACAGCTCGCCGACGTTTTCGATGTCTGCGAGTGAATACGAGGTGATTACGGAAGCCCCGCGGGTGCTTCCTCATGAAACGAGTGCTCTTCTACCTCAGAGTGCGAGAGAATCTGGCACCGGAAGTTGGCCAGCGAGAGATGGGAAGAATGACACCCGATCCGCGGAAACGTCTTGCAAAGGTTGCTGCGTCGAATGCATATCCTTCTGTAACATCGTGGCCTGCTACTTCTGGAGGTGATTTGCGGCCCTAATCTCGAGACGTCAAGCGAGATCCCCCAGCCTGATCCGATCAGATCATCTTCCTCCAGGCTCCGCGAGAGACCATCCGACGAGAACAAGCCCGGGTACGAACCTGGACATGGACGTGGAGTTTGCCGCAGTTCTTGGTAGTAACTTCGATGCTCTGTGGAGGAGAAGAAAACGTAAACTGTTGGGAGGTCAGAGAGGCCCATCAATCAGATCGGTGGCAATCTACCGCGTGGCGTTCATGCGCAAACCTGTGATAAGTCTGTAAGTCCCCAGAGGAGCCGAGTAGGCTGCAGAAATGTTCGGATCAAGAGAGTCGGAGTTCCATGCCTAAAGCCCGGACGCTACGGATGAGAATCGAGAGACCGACAGAGAAGTCGAAGATTCGAATGTCTCTCGTCATCCTGCATGTCGGCTTCTTGGATGCGGCTCAGTCATCTAAGTCATGCTTCTATTATCAAAAGTGAACCCTGCTTCAATAAATACGATCGAACATTTTCTAAGGTTAGTCTTCTCGTGGATGGAATCGTGAAGCCGGCTCAACCTGTTCTTCGCTGCGGGATATTCTGATCTATATACCCGGACTGGATGGAAAGAATAATTGCAGTCGAACTAGGGCAGCTCCCCTCCTTTCGAAAGCGAGAGCTCTTCTGACCGTCCGTCTTCGTCATTTTTGAGGCAGTTTCTTTCTCGTTCAATGTTCCAGTTCAGGTTTCATTCAGGATATTGGCTCGGTGAAGAGTCCGGTGCGCAGTGTTCATCCACACAACAGGTCTCTCCCGCCAGCGACCAGGGAGTCCGGCGTCTGACGAAAGGGTGGCCGCGCATGCGTTGTCGGGTCAGCTGGCAAGGAGGACGAGCAGTCGAACCGTCGGCCCTGCCATTCGAAAAGTGCCCTCACAGGTGCCGTGTCTCGGTAGACTCAGTGGACCGAATGTACATACTTCGAGTCTCCAGTGCGTATACTCTGAGGATCTGTATTACTGCGAGTGAACGGAACCCAGAGAGCGGTGCATAAACGCGCTATGTGAGTAACTCTGAGTGTGCGACAGAGCGAATGACCGGTTGGCATGCCCGTTAGAGGATTGGATGATTCTGTTTGAAAACCTGCCATGTGCGCGAACTTCGCCGTAGGAGAACCGATGGAGAATGAGAATCTTTCTCCAGGAAGTCACATGCCCGCTCGGAGACTCGAGTCCCCCTCTTCAGCGTCGGAAAAGTACATGACCATGAGGATAACATAGCACAACGACTGCATCGGTCGAGCGAAAAATCGCAATAACCTTGAGTTCATCCTCTCTCCGAGTTCATTGTGAATGAAGCCCGACGAACACTGACTGAGCTCCCTAATTGATACCTGGAGGCAACAGGCGTTCCCCTCTGATACTGTTCGATGGTTGCAATATCTGACAGTATAGACTACACTGAAATACTCTCAATAAGGTTGAGACATTCGAACCTTGAAGCTAAAAGCAGCGTCTTCGCTATCTGAATGCGTCGGAGGTCGAGACCGGAGAACGAAGCTATGACATCAGGTTCCGTCTTCCAGGTAAATGACGTTTTCGACAACGTGAGAGATTTTAGAGATAGGATGTCTCATCATGACACCTGACGCGCTATTAATGGAATGGTGCGATCTCTGACCTTCCCCGAGGAGAAGGTAGGCTTCTTGCGACTCCTGACTCTCTTATTGCAATCCCATCTCTATGAGCAAAAACAGAATCCTCGTGATTGTCATGCTTCCTGTTGCCGAACGGCAATCGGAAGAATAATTCAGCTTCAGAGAATTCCTGATCATCTGATCGTGAGTGATCGGATTCGGCTCCCCTCACAGCGATGGTCAGAAACGTTGCCGATACATTGCTCATCCCTTACAGGATCCTCTCGGAAAGAAAAGAGCATGGCTAAAGTAGCGCGTGCATACGCCAATCTGCTTCAGAAACACCCATGGAAAACTCAACTGACGACATCGGGGCTCTTGATGTCAACTTCTGATGTGCTCTGCCAAAATATTATTGAGAGAGAGACTCCTTTCGATCCGAAAAGAACTCTACGATTCTTTGTGTTAGGCTCCTGTTGGGTTGGTCCTATCATTCGTAAATGGTGGGTGAGCGTTTCATATGGGGGCTACTGTTTCTCACTTCAGAAATGAGTACAAGCTCCTGAGGTCTCTCCTCCTAATCAGGTACATCTTCCTCGACAAGAGGTTCAGCAAACCCTTGAAGACAGAGGCCTTGAAGAAGGTTGCCGTAGATCAGCTCTTGTTCGCCCCGCCATATTTGCACAGTGTGTTAGGAGTACTTTCTATACTAGAGGTAATGGTCGTCTGAGGCACCGTAGGTCATCACCTACGAGCTATCATCATCGATATTGTTTTTGCTCATATATTCGTGACATCACATCATACATCCCTATGCTCATTTCAGGGCAAGGATTCCGAAGGAGTCAAGGAGCGTCTTCGGAACGATGGTTTCAAAATTGTTCAAGCGGCATGGTGTTATTGGCCCGCTTCTCAACTGATTAATTTCCTGTTCGTCCCTCTTACGTACCGCTTCCTGTATTCCAGTACGGTCGCTGTTTGTTGGAACGTGTATTTCTCTTGGCGAACGAACTCTTGTGGTACAGAGAGCATGTTGTTCCCCGAGTAAAGTTGGGCTTTTAGAATTGACTAGAAACCAATTAATCAATTGTGAATGGGATGTGAATCATGAGAGCTTTCAAGAAGCGCCACAAGGATAAGTCACGGGATTCTCGGCTCGACCTCGTGAGGTACTTCGCCTCGTTTCAGAGATTGCAAGTCAGGATTCCGGCTTCTCATCACTGACTTCGGAATCGAGTCTTGAGTGTCTCAAAGTTGAAAACATTCGTCCCTGCCTTCTCTGCAGTACAGGGATACCCCTTATGTGATGTCACGTTATAAGTTATGAGTTGTGATGATAATTCTCGAGTGCACAGAGAGTGTTCTGAAAGCGAACTTGCAGGGATCTGTCAAGATCTTTTGAGATTAAGATTCACAAGTCGCCTTGTATCCTAAGTACTTTGGATGGAACCACACGAAGAGCTCCTCCGGAATGTACATACAGCCTGTTAATGTTGAGCCCATAATAAACTGGATCAATCAGAGCGAAGGGTGTTTTGAGCGGGATACCATTGTATTACATGGAACAATGGATGCACCGCTTGAGGTCCGTGAGTTTCACGGCTCAACTTCAGAGAGCAGTGGCCTCAGAATTCCTCCCGGAGAAATATTATCGATCGTAGAGATTTTTAGCCCACAATCCGTCGCCCGAATCCGCGAAGACCTCCATTCCGATCAGAGCGTCGAGCTTGTTTTCCTGCCGACACAGTATTTGGCGGCGACCTAAAGGATCGCGTCGACGCTCTCCGAGCACATCTAAGGATGAGCTCTGTCTATGAGACCAGATACAGAGAACATTGGTCTCGAGTCACGGGAGTTACAGTCGATCCGGATATCATGAAATGCTGGCATACAGATGATGAGACCCGTCAGACACAAGACCGAATTTATACGGCTATACCGATGACCCGCGGAGAACAACTCGAGGAAGGTTTCGTTACCTCTGGGAATCTCGATTAAGCTATTCGCCGCTGTCCCCATCAAAGAACTGATTCCGGAATTGTCCTCCTGAAAGTCACCGGAGAAATCCATCATACGACCGGGTCCGGCTGGAAGCCGTCTCGTGTCGTCTACGTCCTCCTGATTCTTCCTTCTAGATAGAAAGAGGGAAATTAGGGACCTGGGACGAGAACGATCGCCCGGTATATGCGAGAATCTGATGCGTTGACCAGAGGGAGTAGTAGAAGCTTCCCATCGATTTTCAGCCCTGTCCGCTCCTGGAGGGCTGACGGGGATTTTCCCTTTTTCGGGCTTCCACAAGCGAAACTATGTATTAGATTGCCGTCGTGTAGAAAACATACAGAGACAGCTGCTTAGCACATCCCATGCTGATCCCAATCACTAGGGAGGGAGACGAATCGCACAATGCAGTCCCGGATCCTCGATATTCCCGGGACTCAGAATCAATACTTCTCCTCGTATTCAATGGATACCAAACTGCGACCGTGCTTGATGCTCTAGTCTGCCAAGTAGAATAGATCCGCCTGGTATTGGATAATTCGATTTAAGGAGCCTCGCAATCGACCCGGTTCCGTCCCCCGGGGTCTGCTGCCCCTAAGAATATCGGCCAAGCCAGCGGCCCGTTTTCACACAAACGCACCGAGGTAGCGTGTCTTAACACATTCCACCAAGTGAAGGGCAAACAAGATAATGATGATGGCTGTCGATGCATGTTCGCAACCCGGAGCAGCGAACCGTCAACTCTCCTTTCGTCGGCACGGCTTAGATCCCACCGACTGTCTTGCTGAGATGAAGAGTAGGCGCAGAAGATGACGCGCATCCACGCTGTTCATCCGAAGGTCTTGGCCGAAGACATTAATATCGTTAGCGAATTGATCCTTGTATCAGGAGCAGACCGGTTGCCGTTCTGCTGGCAATTATAGAGATCCGCGAACTCTCCTCGTCGATGAGCAGACATTGAGTGAACACGACAAGGAACTTTCACAGAATCGTCGTCGAAAGTTTCGATTGCGTCGCGCCGGAGGTATCTTAGCAAGACATGTGAGAGTTGAGGGGCCGTATAGAGGATACGCGGTTCTGGATCCGAGCTATTCATGAGGTGCGCATGGTCCATCTTCTGGGCCTGTCATCGCCGGGAGGGTTGGACTCAAAATCCGAGTTCAGTCTTTGTCCGGGTTTGTGGGATATTATTTTCGATCGGAGATGACTCTCAAGCGTCATAGACACCCGTGCAGCTAGTCTGGATGTCGTTTTGAATTGAGGACAAGTGAAGCAGAGGTCGTGTGCAAGGTAGCGGACACCTTGTGCCTTCCGAGTTCCCTGCTCGAATCCCGGCTTTTGGAATACTCCCGTTTGACTCCCTTTCTACGCTACCATGGCACAGGATCGACCAGACGAGTTCGGTAGAATCATTCCGGCTCTTTCGCTTGAGAGATTTAGCAAAAGCGAGCTGGTTATCTTCTCAAAGCTCTCTTGTGGAGTCTGGTTCTCTGGAGACAATGTCATTGATCCCGCGGACACATAGTTCCGAGTTTTGAAGTCAACAGGAACTCCTTGAAATCCCGAGGAGAAATGCTTAGCACATGCTGGATTCGATCGGAAAGACTTGGTAAGGCCTCGATCTCCTCCGATTGAATTTGCTCCGAAAGCATCCAACAATGAAGGATCTATCGAATCAGAATTTCACTTTCTGCTCTAACAAATGATCTCAAATGGGTTGAGCTCATGAGAGAGGTATCCGAAAAACTGTGTCGGATACAGTTATATTTTACACCGCACTCGATCCCACCCGATTGGTCCCCAGGTGTTTCCGCTCATTTTGCGGTGACGTCCTCAGCGAATGATAATGATCAACATCCCTGGGATCACCATCATGCATGACGTCTGACAGGAGCATACACAATGGGAACGCGACGGAAATGCATCGCGATGTAAGCGGGCGAGAGATGCCGCTCATTCTACCATTGTCGCATCAATCGTTCACTCAAGGATAATATCCTGCGAGGTCCTAGATTTTGGTACAGGATATCTCTATAGGCTGAGACCAAGAGATCGGACTCGGGCATGCAATCTGTCGGCATCGAAGCCCAAGGAGTTGCCGCAGAGATGTCAGAAGACGATTCCTCGAGACTGAGAGTCTCCGACGGTTTTCAGGCTCAGAATCATCGATCGTCTCGAGGCGAATTACGTCGATGTCGATAAGGACGGTAACGAATTCTCGGAAGATTCCCACCGAGAGATGAGCAGATCCTTACCTTGACATCCTCGGCATCGATCTGAAACAAAGGAACTAGGATTTAGGCCGACTCAAACCAGATCAGAATGAGCCGATTCCCCAGATACTAGGGACGAGGGTTTCTTCCTCCTGGAAAAAGATGGAAGACCTCCCAAAACATAGCTGCGTCGGACCACGCACGCAGGCACCCACACGAAAACCAGAGATTTGATTCAGGAGCTCGGCGAAAAGTCGCATCACCGATTGCTTGTAATCCTCCTTGTATCCCCGTATCCCGTAAGGATGAGGATTCGTACGATACGGAGGATTCCGGAAGGATTGTGATCTCAATCGTGTACGGTTCTTCCTCCGGTCGATGTATGCCAATCCATGGAGACTCAGAGAAAGTTCGTCGGAAAGGAGAGGAAACGAGATATGGTCCCACATCATCTTTATTAGGGTTCGAGTGAGGTCCAAACATTGCGCTGGAATCCTTCCCGACGACGGGGACACGATACGAATAGGCTTGTCTTGACAAAGACAGGAAACTCTTTCAGAATAATGAAACGGATATCGAGCCCATTCCGTCGAACGTCGAAAATCGCTTCAAGAGACCTTTCAGGAGCGCAATCATGAGTTGCCGCTAGAACCGAAGAGCTACTCGAAATAAATCCCTGTACATGGAAACTCGAGGTAGAGACGTTTCCAGGAAATCCTTGGAAATCCCGCGGCAGCGTACTTCCTGCTTCCCAGGAGGCTCTACTGTGGGATGGAGTCTCTGGAACCACGGAATTTTTCGCCCCGCGTAAGCCTCGACGATAAGGTCCTCAACACGCAGAGAGCGGTTCGGTCTGTTCCGACGGGGGAGCCTTTCAAGGCGAAGCGAATTGGAATTGAAGTTTGCCCGACACTCCATCCCTCTTTCCCCCCACAGCGAACGCAAACGAGCGTCGGATAATGGGAAGGAACAATCGGTCCCAATAACATTGGAAAAAACTCTCTGCGAATCTCTTATTTCCTTTTCGAAGTACAATCCCCAAAAAAATAAACTCCAAAGTAAATACTATACTATGCCAACAATAGCTACGAATCGTCGTCTCGAATCGAGAGGGCTGGAAAAAGTGGTCCTTCCTTCTGAATGGTGAATTTACATTTTCAGATCATCATCGAAAGACTCAGCCGCTCCAAGAATCATGCGGCCGATGCTGCGCCTCGGCAGAGCTCCGGAGGATTCGATATCGAATCAGGGACCCAGTCGTGCGGATGTTTCCACCGTGCAAAACTCCGAACCTCATGCGAAAGTAGAGTTTCCAACGAATTTCTGAAGCCTTGCCACTCCATGCAGAACCCAAGCATTCGCATTCAAGCAGTCTGAGGGAGTTTCGGGTTCTCCAGGAATACGTAGACGGCGCATCCCTGAGAGCGCGGACTTACTGCGGAATTCTCGGGGATCACCTGCGTGATTGGGTGAGCCTTGGTTTCATCCATCTGTAAGAGCGGCCCAGCGAGTAGCGGAGTGGAAGAGGAGAGAGATAAAGACGGGTTAGGTCAGCTGCACAAGCGTCATTGTCTATGTGATTGTATCCTAAGGCGGAATCCTGCTGGAATAGCTGTTAGATCGTGCGCGTCGTGAACTCTGCGATGTTATACACTAGGTGACGCAGGATGAGCCTCAAGCAACAATGGGGTGGGCTCCCGGGGGAAATATTTTTTCTGACACTCCGGACGTGTATCGTTCCCCCGGAGCACGCCCGAGACCAGCTGTTCGACTATCGGAGCGAATTTTGGCTGTGTGAGGTTCCACTTGCTCTTCGGAACCTCAATCGCCATTGAGGAGAGTCCTCGAGTTTTCGATAAGCCTCGAGAACCTTCCAAGAAATGCGGAGAGTTCATTAAGGCTTTGTCTCTCTCATTGAAGTGCGGGAGGTGCTATCAGCGGCTAATTGAGTGAACTCCAGGTCCTAATCTTGTCGAAATTATTTTTATGCTGTGCATGATGCTGTCGATGGCGGACACTCGAGACGCTCCGGCACCCATGCGTCTCATCGCGGGAGCCTCTCCCGCCAAACAGAATTCGCTCCTCCTGCCAGCGATGCTAAGCGAGGGAAGCTCAGGGAGAGGAAAAGAGAACCAGCGGGGACTGTTACAGAGTTTTTTCGAGGTTCACTGTCTCATTCAGGAAGCATTGAAGCATCCTGGATAAGCGAGGGAACGATCCCCCGACTAGGAACAGAACACTCTCACAGATGCTCTGCCAGAACCGGATCGCTTCGGAGCGCGTCATGGCTTCCACTCCCGCTCTCTTTCCACTCCAACTATCTGCTCTCACCGACAGCACGGCGATAGGACCCAAGAGAGGAGCAGATACTCTGATGGAGAAAAACACACAGTTCCCCTAGCATCAAGCGGCATTGGGGTTGACCTCGAAATTCAGCCTTACCTGAAATGGAGAGAGAACGGATGATTAGAATAAAACCCCGAGTGATGCCCAGCTCGTTGCATTGCCTCTCCCTACCGATCCAAATGACTGAGTGAGCGACGTTCCTACGAAACATGGGAGCTTCACCCGCAGTCGGGTGGAATCGGGCGATGTTGGGAGTTGCGCTATTTGTTTCCGGCACTCGGACCCAGTGGAACTTTCGGTCCGTCTACAACTATTCTTCAATCACTTTGCTTCGCTGGCGACGAACTCTCTGACGCTCTTTTATTCGCCCTCGTATAATCGTAGGAGAACGAAGCCGAGGAGCGAATTCGCAGTCCTCCGAAATCGCGTGAAGATGACGCGACGTCCTAGTCTCAACTCTCTCTCCTGTTCACAGCAGGCTCGGAGGAGACGATTCCCCCGGGTTCCGTAGGTGGTCACTCGACTCACGGTCTCGCTCCTTCACGTAGCAGGCTCATTGAGCTGTCAAGCTGTGTTAGCTCGACGGTGTCGCTTTGCCTTATTATTCATCCAGGACTTTCCGAGAGAACCATCTGTCCCCTGCATGTCATCTGAGGAGACGTTCACTCGGTCTGCGCGCGTGAGGCTCGAAGAATTCGCCACGAGTCAGGGACATGCGAGAGCTTTTGAATATCAGGCAGCCCTTTATCTGGAAGTTCCCCGGTATCATGGTGAAGCTTCGGTGGCTATTCGTACGTGGGGGGATGGAGTAGATAAGCCTGACGCGGAAAAAGTTCTGCGGGAGGTAAAACATACATTCTTCATTCCAGAGATGATTCCTTGATTCGCCGCGCGATGGAATGATAAGGTGCTGGACTGGCCCACGAGCCCGGTACGGGGCCGCCCACTCCCGGGGGACTCGTTCAACAATGCATGGTGCGGTAAATCGTCGCTGCGGCAAATCGCTGGATTCGCGAGCAAATGTCAACGTCTTTGTCTTCGCCTCGGAGAGCTTGGGAGCCGTGTTTTCCCTTCGGAGAGGGCTCAGCATGGATCCTTCCCACGTCCCGGGGCCCGGCTGCGAGTTGATGCCTCGAGTGGGGGGAGGTCGGTACTCCACCCTCTCGATGGAGGGACATGCTCATCTGTAGCACCAAGCGACAAATCGGCGAGCGGATTCTGCAAACGCGCTGAGCTTCGCTACTCTACGAATGAGGGTTTCGCGCGTATCATCTCGCAATCCACAGCTATGAGGCTCGTAGATCACAGCTCCGAAGCCTGTCAAGACGTCGGGGGCGAGCTCCGGTTCTTGGAATTAGACGAAATCACCGGGGATCTCTACCGGTCGCCGGAGACTGCCTCAAATCGATGAATGTCGAGCGAGGGTTCACACGATCAGGGAACCGGTGAACCTAATGGAAATTCACCGAGCTCGTGGAATGAGAATGAGCTAAATTCTCTCTCGGAAGGAATACGGCAAACGCGTGACGCGTACGCGTAGTCTCCCACCACTTTCGCGGGATCCACGGGAGGCTCAGGAGAGGATATCTGAGCTGTCGTTCAGGCGTGTACCACGCAGGCTTTGTGGCACGTCTCTTCGGCAGCGGCGGTGGCGTTACCGTAGAACAAACACACACTCATAACATCCATTTGCATATCGTTGGATGAGTTCTCCCGGCAAACGGCGACAAGCGATTACCGAGTTTGCCAGAGATACCGTGTCATAATTAATTAGAATCGTCGAACATGATTCATTGCCGATCGTAACGACTTTGGCGTCCGCCCCGGTAAGGCACGATAACGAATGGAAGCACACCGAACGCCATCAAGGTTAGTGTTTACAATGGCTTTTTTCTGCCGTCTACTATCGACAATCATGGATCTCTGTAGGCTTGTCCGGTGGACGGTCGTTTCGTCTCGGTAGAAACGACAGCTGTCGGAGCCAAGTTTACTACAGCAAACTCGATTAAGTGACCATTCTTGAGGCGGAAGCAGAAAACTCCGACGCTTAATCGCATTAGAGAAGTCACGAAAGTATATTTGCCTTAGGCTAAGATCCTTTCGTGAAGAATCCTAGTATGTTACGTTTCTTCTCCAGTTGATAAGCCTCGGTAACAGAGAACGGCTCCCCATCCGTTGATTGACTCGGGAGAAAACGGCCCGAGCTGGAACGATGGGGGAGCCCACATACATTTGGAGCTTCCAGAGCTTCTACTATCGTGAATGACTCGCCTCCTGTTCTCTCAATACGTTTCGGCTGTAAGCTCACTCGGAGCAGAGCTTCCCTTGACAGCCAGATTGGCCGGGCGAGGGAACGATCTTGTTCCCCATACCCAGGTCGGAGCTTCATCCGCCTTTGCGGAAGTTCTCCGTCAACCACCTTGCCCAATACATTGGAGCTCACATGAAGCTATTCTCGTGCGGACATCGAGGAACAGATTGAGCGATGTCGCTTCCTCGATGTAAATCCCGCGGCTCCAATTCTTCGCATAAAAAAAATGCGCTCGCTCATGCCGTCCTCCGAGAGGAGGCTAAGAAACGGCACATATCATTCGACGGGGAGGAGGCGTACCTAATGTTGCAGAATCCTCGCGCAGCGTGTAGAGGATTCCGGCAGCGTTAGTCATTCGGCATTCGTTCGCGGGCAATCGCTCCCTTGCTTGTTCGGGCTGGTGCTC